AAAAAAAACTCAGTGGCTAAACTCCCCTGGGTTCAGTCTGGTACCAAAAAGAAATATGTTGGTGCATGCCTATAATCCCAGCTATGAGGAAAGCTGAGGCAGAAGGATCATAAATTGGAGGCTGGGGATATAGTTCAGTGATAGAACACTCCTGGGTTCCATCCCCAGGACCACCAGAAAAAATAAGTGATGTAGGATGCACCACTTATTTTGTAAGTGTAATCCCAACTACTTGAAGGCTAGGACAAGGGGATTATATGTTTGAGACCAGCCTTGGCAACTTAGATCCTGTCTCAAACTAAAAAATTATAAGAGCTGGAAATGTAGTTCAGTGGCAGAGCACTTACTTAGCACATGGGAGACCCTGAGTTTAATCCCATCAATCTTCAGCATGAGGGTGGGATATAAAAAAGGGAGAAACAGTAGCTATTGATAGCTGGCTGTATTTAACACTTGGCAAATTGACTAATTTTATGTGCCTCATTTTCCTTACCTGTAAAATACAGAGACTGGACTAGATCACCTGACCTGCAGATTGATGTGAGAGCGTGTGTATGGGTGAGTGCGCAGCGCGCTTAGCCACTGAGCCACATCCCCAGCCCTTTTTTTGTATTTTTATTTAGAGACAGGGTCTTGATGAGTTGCCTAGGGCCTTGCTAAATTGCTGAGGCTAGCTTTGACTTCTTGATCTTCCTGTCTCAGCCTCCTCACTTGCTGGGATTATTGGTTGTGGGCCACCACACCCATCTAGATTGATTTTTTTTTTTAAGATTGACTCTTACCTGGCTAATTGACCTTATAGGGCTGACTTTTGGGACTGGACTAGACTCTGATGACTATAGACTGGGAACTCTGACTACTAATAGGTGATGAAATTCTTGAGGTTGTCTGTAGATTTGCCATAAGGATTTAAAGCTAACAGGTGGAAGGGGGGCCTCAAGAAAAGTCTGGCTCTTGCTGGGCAGGCTAAAAAACCTTTCCTGTTATGCCTCTTTTCCAGCATTGCTTGGAGAACTGCCCACACTAAAGAACATCTTCCACCTCTACCCCACCTCAGTGGACTGACCTATGGTCAGGCCTCAAGTTTTCCTAGTTATTGGGTTTTTAATAAGCCATTTTTGTGGAGCTGCACATCTAAGGAAAGTTAAATCTGATTTCTTCTGAGATGAAAGGGTTGAAGGAGGAAAGTGTAACCTCCCTTTTTTTTGGCCTCAGGTTTGAAGATAATAAACATCACACTGCTTGGACTAGTTTGCTTTGGTTTTCTTTTTTGCCTTTGAATGGATCATTTGCCCATTGTTAACTCAGCCAAAAAAAAAAAAAAAAATTTAAGTCACCACCAGAATAAGAAGGAAATCAATTGAATCTTTTATGTATTATTTCATTTCTATATTCCTGATGTTTCAAGAGTCTAGCTATTTACATTAAAAAATGATATCCTTATAAACATGATGAGATTCAAGCTCAAGGTTTACAGATGGGTATCCCATCAATTAGTATGAACAAGTAAGGCAGGACAGATTTTTGAGGTTACATATTGGGGTGGGAGGTAGTCTTTTCTAACCCAGTTATTACTAACCTCTGATGATCCAAGGTTGTTTAGTAGCAAGAAAATTTGCTGACTGATTCTGGGCTCTGGCTTGACTTCTGAGTGTTTGGGGGTTGGTGACAAAGACTTTGCAACCCAAGTGTACCTGTAACTTTCCTATCTTCACACTGCTCCAACCCCCTACTGTTTTCCCAGGCTTAGAGTAATGGGTCTGGCCATGAGAATTTAATCCGTTTTAACTTCCATGTTATTATTGTAGAATAGTAACATTGAGGCTTAATGTTTTGCCCCTTAGATAACATGCTTTGAAATAGATAAAAATGTGAGGGAATAAGCTGAAAAACTAGTAACTTTTCCTATGTTTCTTGAGAGTATGTCACCTGAAAAAAAAAAAAAAAACTTGTTAACTTATCATCTTTATCTTTTTTTTTCTATTGTGTCAGTTGTTTTCTGTTTTTAAAGTTTCAACTTACGAGGGCCCATCTTCTTTTCTGAGACAGTGTATATGAAGTATCACATAAATGTATGTTTTTTGTTTTGTTTTTTTAGATATAATTCATCTACATAGATGCTTTAAAGAAACCAAGTTTAATCCCCAGCACCACACACACACACACACACACAAAAAAAAAAAAGCAAAAAAAAAAAAAGGAAAGCAAGTTTCTGCTTGCTTACCCATAATTGCAGCAACTAAGGAGGCTGAGGCAGGAAGATCATAAGTTTGAGGCCAGCCTCAGCAACTTTGCAAGAACTTGTCTCAAAAAATAAAAAGGACCAAGAATATAACTCAGTGGCAAAATGCCCCTGGGTTCAATCCCCAGTACAGGAAGAAGAAAAGTGAATTTCTTAAATGTACCCAGAACTTTGGAAGGGAATTCAAATTCTGCTATTTCATATTTTCACAAATCCCCTTCTTTCCCAAATATCCTTATATAAATAAGGAAGCTGAGATTCCAAAAGGCAAAGGGAGTAGCCTAAACTCACAGTAAGTTAAGTGGCAAAGCAGAGAGAAGAACTCAAGTTTGCCTGATTCCAAAGCCCTTACCAATACATGGGTTTGCTTCTGTCTAGGTTGGCTCTTCTCATTTTCGTGATTGCTCTATAACTTAAGTAGCAGGGTTCGGGAATCTTCTGATCCCTGGAGAGCTATATATTCAACCTTTATCCAAATGTTATCTAGAAGTGCTTTATAGTAACCATAACCATAAGCCGTTCAGAGTCGACTTCTTTCCATTCCTATTAACCCATCTTTCATTGTCAGTCCTTCCCAAAGTTTTTAAAACTTGTTGATCATGATTCACAGTTAAAAACACAAAACTTGTCATCATTATGTTGCTTGCCTGTAATCCCAGTGGCTTGGAAGGCTGAGACAGGAGGATTGCAGGTTAAAAGCTAGCCTCAGTAATTTAGCCAGGCTGTAAGTAACCTAGTGAGACCCTGTCTCAAAATAAAAAATAAAAAGGGATGAGGATATATCTCAGTGGTTAAGCACCTCTGGATTCAATCCTTGGTATTAAAAGTGAAAAAAGGAGTTTACATCCTGACTCTGTGTAAACTACACATACATATAAGTGAAACATTTTCACAAAATGATTCTTATGCTTATTGTTAGCATCCCCACCCCCCACTGGGGATTGAACCCAGGGGCACTTAACCACTAAGCCACATTCCCAGCCCTTTTTTGTATTTTATTTAGAGACAGGGTCTCACTGAGTTGTGTAGGGCCTTGCTAAATTGCTGAGGCTAACCTTGAACTTGAGATCCTCCTGCTTTAGCCTCCCCATGTTGCTGGAATTACAGATGTGTGCCACTATGCTGACCTTGATATTTCTTGACCTATGTCCTTTTTTATTTTTATTCTTATTTTAAATAACATGGTACAGTGGTGTATGCCTGTAATCCCAACTACATGGGAGGCTGAGGCAGGAGGATCACAATTTTGAGGCCAGCCTGGCAATTTAGTGAAAACCAGTCTTAGAAAAAGAGCTAGAGATAGAATGCTCTGGGTTCAGTCCCCAGTACTGCAAAAATTAAAAAAAAAAAAAAAAAAAAACTGATGGTAACCCATCAACTGATGTCAAGGTCACTTTTGTCTTACAGCCCACAGTTTGAGAAACACTGCCCTAAAGGTTTGAAGATGAAGAACAGCTAAAGAACTGTGTTTAGTGGGATTATAGGTGTTCACCACCATGCTGGGCTTGATATTTCTTGACCTGTATTTTTGTTTTGTTTTTAATAACATAATAACATGGTAGTTCAGTACAGTGGTGTATGTCTGTAATCTCAGCAGCTCTAGAGACTGAGGCAGGAGGATCGAAAATTCAAGGTTAGCCTTAGCAATTTAACAAATTAGCAACTCAGTGAAACCTGTCTCAAAAAAAGAAAGGGGATAGAGTTGTGGCTCAGTGGTAGAGAGCTCTTGCCTGGCATGTGTGAGGCACTGAATTCAATCCTCAGCACCACCTAAAAATAAAAAAGTGTCCATTATATATATATATGTGTGTGTGTGTGTGTGTGTGTGTGTGTGTGTGTGTGTGTGTGTATACACACACAAACAGAGACACATTTTTTTTTTTTCTAAAAGAAAAAGGACTGGGGACATAGCTCACTAGTAAAGAATCTTTGGGTTCAATCCCTGGTACCAAAAAAATTTTTTTCTTTAGACAACTATTTTTAAAAATATGTTCCCTAGTTGGGCACTATGGTGCACTCTTGTTATTCCAGCAGCTCAGGAGACTGAGAAAGGGAGATCAGGAGTTCAGAGCCAACCTCAGCTATTTAGCGAGGCCCCAAGCAACTCAGCAAGAACCCTGTTTCTAAATAAAACATAAAAAAAGGCTAGGGGTGTGACTCAGTGGTTAAGTGCTCCTGGGTTCAATCCCTAGTACAAAAAATTTTTTTTTAATTATGTGTGTGTGTGTGTTGTGTGTCCCTATTTTTTTAAAAAGGGATTGTTTAGAGTGGAAAAAAATTTAGAATCCATAATATATTTCTCACCTTAAACTTAACTATTTTGCTGGGGGTGGGGTGGGAGACTGGGGAGTTAACGAAGGGCAATTTACCATTAAACTACATCCCCAGCTCTTTTTTTTTTTTTTTTCAATTTTTCATTTTGAGACAGGATCTCACTAAATTGCTGAGGCTGGCCTTGAATTTGTAATCCTCCTGTTTCAGGCCTCCCAAACTACTGGGATTACAGGTGTGTGCCATCATGCCTTGCTTAATCCTACTCTTTTCAGAAGTAACTACTGTTAATAGGCAAGTGTGTGTCCTTCCATACCTTTTTCTTTTTAAATTTTTTTAGTTGTAGATGGACAAAATACCTTTAATTAATTAATTAATTAATTTATTTTTATGTGGTGCTGGGGGATCGAACCCAATGCCTCATGCATGCTAGGCAAGCACTCTACCCCAGCCCCTTCTATACCTTTTTTTACACAGAAATAGGATCTAATCTGTGTTTTGTTTTATTTTTTCCAGAGAAAACTGTTATGAGATTCTTGGTTTCTCATAAGAATATACAAACTTAATAAATTTAGCTTAATGAAAATTTTGCTGTATCCTCTTTATTTTGATCATTTCATCATAAACCAATGAAAACTTAATGACAAAATGTACATGTATATCTGGATTCTCAGAACTCCTTGACCTAGGACACTACAGAATATTCAATAGGATCATAGTAATTTCTGATATTCCTCTAAATTAGTCTACTTTGGGACTTTGAATTCTTACCTCTGTCATAATCTTCTTTAACCTTTTTGTTTTTTTCTTTTTCTTTATACCTTTTTCAGAGCCAACCTCAGCTATTTAGCGAGGCCCTAAGCAATTCAGCAAGACCCTATCTCTAAATAAAACATAAAAAAGGGCTAGGGGTATGACTCAGTGGTTAAGTGGTTAATTTTGTACTGGGTTCAATCCCTAGTACAAAATTTTTTTAAAAAAAATTTGTGTGTGTTGTGTGTAGAATATTATTGATAACTAACATTGAGCTATTCTTTAATATATTAACTTAAATCTTTTCTGGACGCAAAAAAAGCAGGGCCATTATTTAATAACAACTAGCTACTACATCTTTATGCTAAATACATCTTTCATTTAATCCCCATAGCCTATTCTATGAGGATAGTATTTTTTTTCTTTCATTTTTCTAGTGGAGGAAAGTAAGGCTCAGAGATGTAAAGAAATTCTTCATGTCTTATTGATACTGATTAGTAGCTCAATATTTATTGAGCATGTAGTCTATATCAAATACTTATTTAAATGAGTTCCAAAGAAATTTAATAATGATACAAATATTATCTCATTTAATCTTTACAACCTTATGCAGTAGTTGCTTATAAAGCTGTTATCCCATTATACAGATGAGGAAACAAATGTACACATATATTTAGCAATTTGCTCAAAGTTTCATAGCCATTAAGTAGAATCGGAAAACAAACCCAGAAAACTGGACTTAAGAGCTTTTATTCCTCTGCGTTGTCTCCTGTATGATTTTCTATCTTGGTGTCTTTAATAAATAGAATTGCTGAGATTTTTTAACACTAATTTGACACGAAAGCTGCTCACTGTAGTGTTTTCCCACACATAAGAGTATGATGTCTATGAAGTCACTAGGATCAAACTTGGAAAAGAGAAAGATTAATTTGAACAAGCAAAGTATAACTCAGGTAATACTTGTGTTTTGGAAAGAGGTTTTTGTGTGTTCTGCCCATGCTAACTCCTCTTTGAATTTCATAGCTCCCTTACATTCCCCTCAGAGTCAGTATGATGAGTTTTTTTGTTTGTTTGTTTGTTTTTTGTAGATGTAGATGGACAGCATGCCTTTATTTTGTTTATTTTTATGTGGTGCTGAGGATGGAATCCGGCTGGGTTTGATTCTCAGCACCTCTCAAATGCAAGGCAAGCGCTCTGCCACTGAGCTAGAGCCCCAGCCCCCTATGATGAATTGGAATGGTTGATTAGAATTTAAAAGCCCCAACTTTTCTCTCTACCTCCCCCCTGCCAACACCAACTTTCTTAGCCCCCTTGAAAGGTAGACAAGTTGATTCAAGAGTACTCTTTCTTTAAACATTGATTACTTAAAGACATCCTCTGTCTGTATCATCCCCTAGAGACTCCTACATATGTTTAAAAGGTATACTTTGCTTCTAGTTTGGAGAGCTACAACTGTTAGTCCCCTTTGGTGTGGAGGGTAATCTATCAGTTCTGAGTTTACTGACTCGGAACTGATAGATTTTCAGATTCAGAGAGGTGGCAGAAACAGAGTTGATACTAAATGTGATCTGTTGGTTGTGTTTCTGTCCTTACCTATGACCAGAAATGAGAAAGGAAATTGCCTGGTAATAGGACGGACCCTGGGGCTGGGGATGTGGCTCAAGCAGTAGCGCACTCGCCTGGCATGCGTGCAGTCCGGGTTCGATCCTCAGCACCACATACAAACAAAGTCCGCTGAAAACTAAAAAATAAATATTAAAATTCTCTCAAAAAAAAAAAAAAATAGGATGGACCCTGGTTAGATATCTCTCTCCCTGTTTTTTTTTTTTTTTTTTGGTACCAGGGATTAAACTTGGGAGGTACTCAACCACTGAGCCACATCCCCAGCCCTATTTTGTATTTTATTGAAGCAGGGTCTCACTGACTTTAAGTTGTAGATGGACACAGTACCTTTATTTTATTTTTATGTGGTGCTGAGGATCGAACCCAGTGCCCCACACATGCAAGCCATGCGCTCTACCACTGAGCCACAACCCCAGCCCCTGACTTAGATCTTAATAAATGACTTTGCAAAAAGACTGTTCATATGTGAAGGATACAGAACCAGAAGCTACCTTTCTACCCTTAGGAGGGGTGACTCTTAACCCACTCCTAGAGTAGAATCTCTTATTTTGAGAGCTAGAAAAAAGCACAACATCACAATACCAAGAAGCTGCTGGGAATCCTGTGAGTGGGTCTGGATATTGTTTAAAAAAAAACTTTGTGAAGACCTGGTGGAGAAATAATGGGGGATTAAAATCTCAGTTTTCAGTTCTTCCATTTCAGCTCCCTTGGCAGTTGGAGACTTTGTGGTTGAGCAAACTATTTCAAAAGCAGTTCTTATTTTACTGTTCTCCACTCTTAGCACTGAGTATCAGAGCTGCCTAGGTCCTTCTCAGAGGTATAGTCTTTTAGTAGTGGATGATTACAAGAACTAACATCTCATAGGAGAAAGGAAAGATTCTGTCTTTTCTCTAAAAAGTGATTGCAACTGCAATCTGCGTCTAAATTTACTCACTTTTTTTCTTGCAGGACTGTTGAAGCCTGGAAGTCCCTTCCCCTTTCCCCTCCCCCCTCTGCCGCTTTGTGGCATCCCCCTCCCTCTGCCCTTTCCCATCTGATAATCTGGCCATGACTAGCAGAAGCACGGCCAGGCCCAATGGGCAGCCTCAAACCAGCAAAATATGCCAGTTCAAATTGGTCCTGCTGGGGGAATCTGCAGTGGGGAAATCTAGCCTGGTGTTACGTTTTGTCAAAGGACAGTTCCATGAGTACCAGGAGAGTACTATTGGAGGTAAGTACCTCAGGGAAAGAAGCTCAAAGCTTGGTAAGATTTTTGAATAGGAGATCTAGGACCTGATTGTGGAACTGTTCCTCTCATTCCCCCAGGAATGAAAACTAAGAAAAGCAGGCTGGGGAATATAGCTCAGTGGTAGAATACTTGCCTAGCATGCATGAGGCTCTGGGTTTAATCCTCAGTATTGCTTTAAAAAAAAAAAAAATTGTCATAATGCCAAAAATCAGGTATTTGTTCATCCTTTCACTTTCTAGGAGAACATCTCATTTTGTCTTTTTTATTTTTTAAATTTATTTTTTTATTTTGAGACGGGGTCTCACTAAGTTGCCAAGGCTGACCTCAGACTTTGACCCTCCTGGCACAGCCTCCCAAGTAGCTGGTATTACGAGCATGTGCAACTGCAACTGGCTCCTCAATATCATCTTAATCCCATGAAATTCAGCTGAGTGTCATCTTAAGCAAATAAAGGTTGGTTTGGAGCAGTGAGTCATAATTCAAGATGTATGTCAGATGCCAGGCTTGGTGACACATGCCTGTAATCCCAGTGGTTCTAGAGGCTGAGGTAGGAGGATCTCAAGTTCAAAGCCATCCTCAGCAAAAAATGAGGCATTAAGCAACTCAGTGAGACCCTATCTCTAAATAAAATACAAAATAGGGCTGGGGATGTGGCTCAATGGTTGAGTGCCCCTGAGTTCAATCCGTGATACCACCGCCCCTCCCAAATAAAAGATGTGTGTCAGTATTATGTAGGAGTGGTGGCACACATCCGTAATACCAGCTATTCAGTATACTGAGACATGAGGATCACAAGTTCTAGGCCAGCCTGGACAAGTTAGAGACCCTGTCTCAAAAAATTAAAAAGACTGTCGGTGTATCTCAATAGTAGTAAGCACCCGTGAGTTCAATCCCTAGTATGGGATAGTGGGTTGGGGGGACTAACCTGGGAGTATTTTTTACCTATGTGTGTTTAGGTATACCCTAAATCTACTGATTAATATTGGAGGTAGGGTGAAATTGGTTGTAGCAGCACAGACAAGTGTTTGGAGAAGTTCCTTAGATGATCTGATGTACATATCTGATCAGATAGAGGCTAGAATATAAAAGGGCATCTGCCTTTTCTACCTTTACTACTAATACTACCCTGCTAATAAGCCAAAATAAGGTACTAATTCAATAAAGGATCTTTTATGAGAATTCCCATATTACTCTGTCCTCTTCTCACTAATCACCTTGGAAATGTGGTTTTCCTGGACATGTACCAGATTACATGAGAAAACAATAGCCAAATAATATTAATAATGATGGGATCTGCCATTAATTCTAATTCTTTTTTTTAAATTATCTATAATAATAATTTGTCAGTGGGTCTTTATTTATATGCGGTTCTAAGAATCTAACCCAGTGCCTCACACATGCTAGGCAAGTGCTCTACCACTAAGCCATAATCACAACCTCAATTCTAATTCTTTTTTGTTGTTGTTTTGTAGTTGTAGATGAACAGAATGCCTTTATTTTATTTGTTGATTTTTTTTTTTATGTGGTGCTAAGGATTGAACCCAGTGCCTCACACATGTAAGTCAAGCACTCTGCCACTGAGATACAGTCCCAGCCCTAATTCTAATTAATACTTTCTTTTTTAAATGTTTTTTTTAATATTTTTTTTTTAGTTGTAGTTGGACACAATATCTTTATTTTATTTATTTGTTTTTATGTGGTGCAGAGGATAAAACCCAGGACCTTGCACATGCTAGGCAAAAGTGCTCTGCCACTGAGCCACAACCCCAGCCCTCTTTTTTTTTTTTTTTTTTTTTAAGTTTTAGGTAGATACAATATCTTATTTTACATTTATGTGGTGCTGAGGATCGAACCCAGTGCCTTGTGCATGCTAGGCGAGCGCTCTACCATATTTTTTAAAAATATTTTTAGTTATAGATAATACCTTTATTTATTTGTTTTTATGCAGTACTGAGGATTGAACCCAGTGCCTCACACAAGCTAGGCAAGCGCTCTACCACTGAGCCACAAACCCAGCTCCTCTAATTAATTCATGATGTGACTTTTATCTGAAGTTTATTGTCTCTCCTATTATTTGTTATACCCTTATTTTGGTTAGAAGAGGGTTGGTTGACTGGTATAATTGCAGTGATCCTTTCTCCCCTCCATATTTTTCAATTTGCACCCACCAGCCAGAAAAACTTTTGGCAGAAAGGACTTGGCTAAAGGCAGTCTTAATCCTGGCTCCAGGATTTGAATGTGAGAACTCTAAACCTTTTCCTGTAGCTGAGTGACATGGATAATGACTAGTCTTAGATGGAGAATGGAGAAATACTCTGAAGGTGGGTGGGATATTCCCTTTCATCCTCCCACTTACAACTTCTTCCTCTCTATTCTCTAATCCATAGCGGCCTTCCTCACCCAGTCCGTTTGTCTAGATGACACAACTGTCAAGTTTGAGATCTGGGACACAGCTGGGCAGGAGCGATACCACAGCTTAGCTCCCATGTACTACAGGGGTGCCCAAGCTGCAATTGTGGTTTATGATATTACTAATCAGGTAAGTGGGCTAAGAAGACAGTCCTTACTTTTGTTTATAGGAATTAAATTAGTTGGGGGAGCGGAAATTGGTTCTTGAAATAGCAAAATAAGAATACAAATTATACTTCCAAGTGCTAAGAAGACTGAGGTCAAGAATTATCAGAGACCTATGGTTTCAGTGAGGGAAACACACCTAAAAGAGGTGAGTTGTGAGACCAGATTTTGAAGGTGATGGTTGTTGATTGGCAGCCATTGCAGCCCATACATTCTCTTCCTCATGTTTTCCTAGGAAACCTTTGCCCGGGCGAAGACATGGGTAAAGGAGCTACAGCGGCAGGCCAGTCCTAGCATCGTTATTGCCCTGGCAGGGAACAAAGCAGACCTGGCTAACAAGCGCATGGTGGAGTATGAAGTAAGAGGGCCCATAGAATCCCTCTCGAACACATTCCCTCTGTACCTGGGACCTCTTTTCCAAACTAACACTCTGAAAATCTCATCTGAAGACATTCATTGTCTCATTCCCTAGTTGAACACCAAGTTAATACAGCTGGGAAGTGAGTGGCTCAGTGGTAGAATGCTTGCCTAGCATGTACAAGGCCCTGGGTTTGATCCCCAGCATAAAGAAAACAATAATAATAAAATCAATATTAGCATTTCCTTTCCCCCTACCCAAAATATAAAAAATAAAACTACACCAACATTGTGATCCTAATTACAGCCAAGTGATTTTTAGAGGATTCAGAAGGAAATATCAGAGGGTTAGAGAAGTACCAGCTGTTGGGTACCAATGTGAAAACAGGAAGGAGGGAGCAATTAAATTTGAGGTAAAGGGACTATTCAAGTGTCAGAATCCAAAGCCCCCACCATCTTACTTGCTTCTCTATAATTAAGATCCTGACATCTGTTTGTTCAACTGAGTGGTCATAGGTTTATCTTAAGGGAGTCATCATTAAATTATGAGTCTAGGGCCACCTGGCAGAATGGGGCATTAATTAAGGGAGGGACACTGCCTAATTCTGGTGCTACATGTGAGTAAAAAAGCAATACTTAGCAAGTGCAATGACCCACTCCTATAATCCCAGTGACTAGGGAAGCTGAGGCAGGAGGACCACAAATTCAAGGCCAGCTTAGACAACTTAGCAAGACCCTGTTTCAAAATAAAAAGGACTGAGGATATAGCTCAGTGATAGACCACCCTGGGTTAAATCCCCAGTACCCCCCACAAAAAAAAAGAAAAAAGCAATACTTATTTCCTCTCTGCATTCTGAACACCAATCACTCATCCTTGCAGGAGGCCCAAGCATATGCAGATGACAACAGCTTATTGTTTATGGAGACTTCAGCCAAGACAGCTATGAACGTGAATGATCTCTTCCTGGCAATAGGTAAAGTCAGACACCCTGAGGTTTTCCTATTTTTCCTTTGTATATAGGTAAAAATTATTACTGACCCAAATCAAGAATAGGTGGAAATGTCTGCTTTTGTAAAAACTTTAGGTATGGGACTGGGGGTGTAGCTTAGTGGTAAAGTGCTTGCCTAGGAGCACGAGTACCTGTTTGATCCCCAACATCACAAAAGAATAAAATGAAAAAACTTAAAAATACTTTAACTTTCTGTTGTAATCTCCATCTTTTGATTGCAGCTTTAGCTCCCTTGTGTTCAATGTACTTTGCAAATAGTGAACTCTCCCCTCTTCAGGACATTTCTTTTAATCTCTCCTTTCCCTTTATTTTTCCTGTACCCAATAGCCTGTGTTTGTTTGTATGTGTGAATGGGGTAAGTAAAATCTACTTTGTTCCCTTCTCTTTTTTTTCTTTAGCTAAGAAGTTGCCAAAGAGCGAACCCCAGAATCTGGGAGGTACAGCAGGCCGAAGTCGGGGTGTGGATCTCCATGAGCCTTCCCAGCAAAACAAGAGCCAGTGTTGTAGCAACTGAGGGGTGGCTAGCAGCAAACGAGTATGGAGCTAGCACGAGAGCTAAGAAATAACCTCCATCCCCACCCCTCAGCACACAGCCCCTACGGTAACAGCACACTGAGCCCTGGCTCCCAAGGGCTGCCTCCTGACAGCTCCGTCATGGCACTTTTTAACGCTTCAGCAACCAACACCAGGCAGCTGTTGCCACTGGCCTCCTACCCCCTACTTTGGGGTTTAGGGGTCAAATCTCCCCAGGACTTAACTTCCAAAACAAACTTTCTTCACGTTGTATTATAGGTGCAAGACAGTGATCTTATCTTTCCTCCTCCTCCCCCTTGTTCTTTCCCATATTTGCAGAAAACATTTTTGTCTCCTTCTCCCTTCCACTTTTGATCAGTCCCTATTTTTGATCCTCTTTTCTTCCTCTCCCCAGGATGGAGAAGGTAGTGAATCCATGAACTGGAGGGAGATTTCTAGTTTAGTTATATTAATGGCCCTGGGGAAGAGTAAAAGCTCAGAGCAAGAGGCAGTAAGGAAACATTTCCTTTTTGTTTTTATGGTTGGAATTTCTCGTGTTTGAAAACATTGCAGCATATATTAGTTGGCCCTGTGGAGGGTGTTCCTAGATAGAGTTGAGAATAGAGAGGCAAGCTCTCAGGCACCACGTGGGAGTCATATTGTTAGCTAATTGGACAAAGTGGAGGTGATGTGGCTCTGGAACTCTTCCAAGGCCCAGTTTCCTCACACCCAGCCTATTAGGTAGCTTCTCCCCTAGAGTGGGGACTGGACCCTAGAGTCCTCCAAAGAATCTTCACTGGTTGCCTGCATCTTTGGCTCTGCTGTGATCTAATTAGAGGAGTTTCTGACACCTATCCTCTGATTTATACATATGCATTTTCCCCCATTCCTCTGGCCTTTAGATGGCCTCAGTCCTAGCCACCACATCCCCCTGCAGTTTGCACTTTAATTGATGGTAGTTCAGTCGGGATACTTGTTTTATGGGAGTTTTGATTGATTTACCTGCCCTCCCTCCTTTTTAAGTAAATGGAATCTGAAGTATATGAGGTTTGGGGAGGGGCTTTAGAGAACAGAACCAGTGGCAGCTACTCAAGCCCAGTCTCCACTGCTGGCTTCCTCCAACTCTTGATTCTTAACCTATATTCTTGCCAACCTAGTTCGTGAGTATAGGTTTGCCTTTCCTGGAGAATTAACTGAGCAATTGGGGAGTGGCCTCAGAGTAGCATAGGCCAAAGTAGGGGAGTAAGAGAGGTCAGGAAAAAGGGAGTAGTTTTATATCCTTTCCCAGGGTTCACATTCAATTTGCTATCCATTACCATGTCTTTTCTACTTCCTTGTAAATAGGTATAATCTTTATTCTCACTATACAGTCTGTTCTATCCCCTGTCTCCCATCAGGATCTATTCCTTTTCTCCTTTGTTAGTATCTTGAGTTTAGTTCCTCCATCCTTATCCCCATACCTACCCTCCCCAACCAATAGTTTAATCCACATACCACTAGGGGCTAGTACCACAGAGGCCTGGTTGTAGTCCCTTCATATCATACCACCTGTTCCTACGGACAGGAAGTGACTAGCACTGAATGTGCCTCACAGCTGTCTCACATCATCAGAGGACCTTGGTCTTTTCTAAACTCTAATCTCTTCACATCCCTCATCAGGTGTTTTAGATGTCTGTGGGAAGCCATCAAGGCAAGGGAGAACTCTTAAGTTCTTTCTTGTTCTGGCCTAGAGTTTTGGAGAAATTTGGGGGGAAAAAAACACAGGAAAAGCCACGAGTGTCCCAGGCCAGCTGAGAAACCAGGAAGCTGAGAATCTGTAGGACCCAGCTTAGATTCTTCCACTTAGGCCTCAATTCCCTTCCTTTTCCAGGGGCAGCCTTAGTTCCCAAGGCCCTGAAACAACATACATTTCCCTTTCCTTCCCAGAAACCATTAGCCTCCACACTCCCTACAAGTACCTAGTGCATCCTTTTTACAAGTGGAAGAACTAGAATGGCTCACCAAGTCTCTTAGAATTAAATTCTTTGTATGGTTTTCCTCATGGAATAGGAGTGAAGATGTTTCATTGCCTTGGGGCTGGGAAACCATTTCCCCAGGCTTCTCTCCTCCTTCACCTCCTTAGGAACAGTATTGGCCTTAGCTTCTGGGCCTGTCTGCCTTCTACTCCTACCAGCTCTTCTGCCCTCCTTTGAGCTCTGTTGGGCTTGGGCCTCTTAGTTTTTTATTTCCGAGCTCTTCATTTTCTTTCCTTCTGATCAGTTTTTTTGTTTTCTTTTATTTTGTTCATTTTAGGGAGGAGGGGGTCTCTCTCTCTCTCTCTTTTTTTTTCCCCTCCTTCAAAGAAAGCATTTGTCTTTCTTTCCCTTTCTTCTTCTCCCAACATAACAATCGTGGTAACAGAATGCGACTGCTGATTTACCGATGTATTTAATGTAAGTAAAAAAGGAAAAAAAAAAAAAAAAGCGCATCGGAGTGTTGGATTGTTTTTTTCCTGTTTGTCTTCCTGATTCTAGAAATTTAGAAGAAAGGGCATACAACTGTTTTATTGAATCAGAACCATACATTCCATTAAGTGATTAAGTGTTTGCCTAGTATGCTTGAGGCTCTGGGTTTGATTCTCAGGTACTAGGAAAAAGAAAAACATACCTTCTTCTGTACCTTGGTTCTTATTCCCTTTAATCTTTTCTTGAACAGTGAAGAATCCAATTTAGAAAATAGCTCTTTTATTGCTGTTGAATCACCCCTATTCAAAGAGGGTGATAGATAGATAGCTTATCAAATCTGAACCTGTTTTATCTTTCAGGTTCTCTTAACAGAATGTATATAAGTATGTTGCCAGCTCAGTGGTGCATCCACAATCCCAGCAACTCAGGAGGCTGAGACAGGAGGAGCACAAGTTTGGGGCCAGCCTTAGTAATTTAGTGAGACCCTGTCTCAAAGTAAAATTTAAAAATAGCTGGGAGGTAGCTTACTATTGAAGTGTTCCTAAGTTAAATCCCCAGCACCACTGGGGGGGGGGGGAACAAGGATGTATATATATGTATGGAGATGTGGTCTATGAATCTCTTGATTCATTGATGTGATTGGAAGAATTCTCTATTTATAAATCCTTTGAAGTAATAGGCAGAAATGTATGTGCATTTTTCTAGGATGCATTACTATGTTAATTTATCAAAGAGGTCTATGATCTACAGGTTTAAAAAAAACTAAGCATGCTGGCACATGCCTATAATCCCTACTACTCAAGAGGCTAAGACCAGCCTGGGCACTACAGCAAAACTAAGTCTCAAAGAATAAAAAAAAAAAAGAAAGAAAGAAATTACTGAATTAGCTTTTCTTTTCGTTCTTTTTTTTTTTTTTTTTGTGGAACAAGAATTGAACCCAGGGGCTGGGATGTGGCTCAAGCGGTGGCGCGCTCGCCTGGCACGCGTGCGGCCCGGGTTCAATCCTCAGCACCACATACAAACAAAGATGTTGTGTCCGCCAAATACTAAAAAATAAATATTAAAAAATTCTCTCTTTCTCTACCTCTATCTCTCTCACTCTCTCTAAAAAAAAAAAAAAAAAAGAATTGAACCCAGGGGTGTTCTACCACCGAGCTATATCCCCAGGTCTTTTTTATATTTTGAGATGGGGTCTCACTAAGTTGCTACAACTGGCCTCAAATTTGGAATCCTCCTGCCTCAGCCTCACAAATTGCTGGGATTATAAGCATGCCTACCTACCACACCTGGCCTGAATTAGCTTTTTTGATTGCTCATGTAGCTTCCACCCCAACAGGAAAATTTTTCCTGGATCTGCTTTTGACTCCTACTGTACGTGAAGCCCTTCAGTCTATCACAATTTAAAGGGGGTGGGGGCAGGGTGAGGAGGAATAAAACAGAAAAGATTAGATTGGTTGGTTGGTGTTTGCAGGAAGAGTTTTACATTCCAAAGAGTCTTAAGGAGTACTGGTGCCAAATAGACTTCATTCCAGTTCCATCTCTGCCAACTTACCAGCTGTGGCCTTGATCAAGTTACTTAGTGCTCTCTTCCTCAGTTTCTTTATCTGTAAAAAGGAATAAAAGTTGAAGTTAAAAAGTAATTTGTGGACAGGTGTGGTGGTGCATGCCTCTAATCTCAGCTACTTGGGAGGCTGAGGCAGAAGGATCACAAATTCAAGGCCAGACTTTGAATTTGAATTTGCTCAGCAATTTAGCGAGACTCTTTCTCAAAAGAGTTGAGGAAGTGGCTCAACGCAGAGCACTTGCCTAACATGTTCAAGGCCCTGGGTTCAATCCCCAGTGTTGGGGTAGGATAGGGGGGTGGATCTTGTTGGGCTGGGGATATAGATTAATGGTACTGCACTTGTCTAGCATTGGAGAAGCTCTAAGCTCGGTAGTAAAGAAGTATGTGTCACACAAATAGGTATAGGAAGTGCATTTCTCTAAAATTGAACCTTTTTAATAATTTTTTATTAGTACATTATAGTCATACATAGTAGTGGGGGTTTGTGTGACATTCATATGTGCACGTAACAAGGCCTTTTTAAAAAAATATTTTTAGGGGCTGGGATTGTGGCTCAGTGGTAGAGCTCACGTTTAGCATGTGTGAGGCTCTGGGTTTGATCCTCAGCACCACATAAAAATAAAGGTATTGTGTCCAGCTACTTATAAAAACTAAATATTTTTTAAATATATTTTTATAGTTGTAGGTGGATATAATACCTTTATTTATTTATTTTTATGTGGTGCTGAGGATCCAACTCAGTGCCTCACCCATGCTAAATTAGAGCTCTACCACTGAGCTACAATCCTGGCCCATGCCCTTTTTTTTTTTTTTTTCCTTAAACAACTATTAGAATAGGTCTGACTTCAGGTCTCTCCAATGATTTAATTATACACAGGTTGGAAATCTTTCCATTTCCAAAATCTTTATAAGAGTGTCTTCATTGTCATTTTCCCTTTCTATTTGTTAATACAGCCTCCAACCACAAACCAGAGTCCATGATTCCTGGTAAAAAACTCTAGTGGATAGCAGAAAGGGAAATGATCTTACAAATTTAATCAAACCTTCACTTAAAACTGATTAAATTATAGCTCAACACTCTGATCTCTAGAGGGCAGTGTTGGATACGTTTGTTCCAGGCTCAGGAACTAGGTTTGACAAAATTTCAATCCCGCGCAAATGTTAAAAGGGTATAACAAATTTATTCTAATTTAAGAGAATTAAATTAGAATAAGAGACTATAATATTCGTACTTTGGGGCCATTGTCTCGTTAAGGGGTGATGATTTTTAAAAACTACGCAAAATTTAAAAGATGGCTATTCCTTGTTGGCTCCATACATTTAACGAGAAAATTCAACTAGTCCAAGGAATCTCGACGTCTTGGAACCACTATTTTAGGCTTCATTTCTGCTGTCATTCTTGGATATAAGAGAATTAAGCGACTGACCTTATTTTCCCTAAAAGACAAACAGGGCTGTCGTAGTTGCAATACGAATGCTTGTCAAAATTAGTAGAGACGAAACTCAGCGCCGGGAGACTAGCTGGATCCGGAGGCCTCCAGGGGAACTTCGGTCTCTGCCCAGACCTTCCAGCTGGAGAGGCGGGGAGTCTCAGTCTTCCCATCTTTCAGCTCAATCTTTGGATCCCTCATCACCTTCCATTGGGTTCCGGACATAGGCGAGGGTCCCTTCTTTGCCCACCGGAGCTGTAATCTACTCAAGTCAACGGCTGTGCAGCAAAAGTGGAAACAACATCGCCAGCTCAGTCCCGAGCCCTCGTGGCGCGCCGCCTCCCTTGGCCGGCGTCCAGCAAGCGGACCTGGCGGCTGGGAGGCGGCTTGCGACCGGCCAATGACTGGGGTACCCGCTGAGGGGCGTGAGGGAGTCTGTATAAGCTTCTGTGCACGTCACACCGTGCCGGCCCCGCCCCTGCGCGAGCACTCGCTAGGCGCTGGGTGGGTAAAACTGCCGAGGTGTGGACACTGAGCAGGGTAAGCAGGGTAAGCAGGCTGCGGCGGAGAGGGAAAGGAGGGAGGGCCGCAGAGGGGGCAGAGAGGGGTCGGCGGCGGCTGGGGCTTTGTCTCAAGGAGTCTTTGAACCTTAGGGATAACAAAGGTACCACTGCCTCCACTCCCGATGCCCGGATGCTCTTGGGGTTGCTGAGTATTGATACCAGACTTTTTTTGTGCCAGCTGCTAGTTAGGGGCATAGGGTCTTCTGCTCTCCCCCGAATGTTAGACGTATCCTCTACCTAAAGTGCTCCTGGGGAATAAAGGTCCATCACCAAGGTGTAGCATTTCTGTAGTGCAGCAGAAAGCCACCCTCCCAAACCTGGAACTCCAGTCTGGTCCAAAAAGGCTGCTGGAATTAAGGATAGGTGGCAGAGTGAGCAAGGGTCTCATGACCCAAGGGTAAACTATAGTCTCTGTTCCTATTCCCATTTCTCGGGAGGTTTCTTTGTCTCCCCACCCATGTTCCATCATTTCATTAGCAATTGGGACAGTTCTTATCCTCCCACTTTGACTTTCTTGGGTCTGTGTTCTGCTCAGAGGCACTGGATTGTGAAGAAGATGTGTTGCAGGACAGAGGAGAAAAATTAACTTCTTTCTCCAGCCCATACCTTGACACCCTGGCCATTGACTCATCAACTTGCTGAGCTCACTAGAATGGCATAGAGAAGGTTGGGGTGGGGACATGGAATTAGGATCCAATTCCCAGCTGGGGTCAATTTGGAGAGCATGAGGCAGAGGGAGAGAAGGAGAAAGGCCTTCAGAGACAATGTTATTGCTTGTTCACTCTTTATATCAGTTCTCTAGGTAGATCTCATTTCAGAGATGAGGACAGAAGTTCAGAGAGGCTTGGTACCTTGCCCAGGGAACTGGTTAATGGCAGGGCTGCTTTACAAACCCAAAGTAGTTTGTCTCTAGAATCTGGGTTTATTCATTTATTAGGCTGCCATTACCTTTTTCACCTTTTGTCCCTGTTTGTATCAGTCTTACCCTCAGTTATCCTCTATTGACTTCAGAAATAATCTCCAGAAAACTGGAACTGTAGTTCATTGATAGGGTGCTTGCCTACCATTGGCAAGGCCCTTGATTTGAGCCCCAGCAATCCAAAATAAATAAATAAACAAACTGCAAATTGGACAGTAGGCATTTGTCTTTTGCCCTTTAGGCCTTTGGCTTCAGGTATTGCTCTCTATAGTGGACAAAGTAGACACTGGAGGATGGAAAATAGGTGATTTTAAAAGCACCTGTCCCCCCATTTCCTTCCATCCTCTTAGCACAATCTTTATCTCTAAAGTGCTCTATTTTCCCAGAGAGCTCCTTGCTGATTTTTTCTGTTTCATCCTCCAACCTATTTCCTCAGGCCTCCCTAATATCCCTTCTTAAGGGACTTCATAGTTTAATCCTGGAATCTTCCTCCTGCAGTTCTACCACAATGCTGCTGCTGCACAGAGCTGTGGTCTCAGCACTTCGACAGGCCTGCAGGTAGGCCATCCCATCCCAGGACTCGCCCCCTTACCATATCTCCTAGATAACTATCTTATCTGTCAGGTGATTATCTTATCTGGCAGATAAAGATAGTTGAGTGGTAGCCAAGGAGGAAAAGGAAAGCCACATTCCACTTGTCCCACCCATTCCTAGAGAAACTAACTTTCAACAGTAATGACCAACCAGGGAGAGACAGAACATGACCATATGTGTTTACTAAGATCTCTCTCTTCCAGATTCAGGCCACCTCCCTCAAGGCTCTGCATCCAGGCCTGCTCTACAAATGAATCGTTTCAGCCCCAGCACCCCAGCCTGAACTTCTCTGGTGATAATTCCAGCACTAGGGGATGGAGAATCATGGGGGCCCTGCTAGGCTTTGGCACAGCATTGGCCTATCATGATCATCGGTGTAGGGTAAGTGCAGAGGGGCTTCATTATTAAAATAAAGGGGTCCTTAGGTAACCTAGGCTGTGACTCATGTTCTTGCTATTACCACAGAGCCCATGCTGGCATTGTCTTCATGCACAGTATAGATGGCATCTTCCACTTTCATTTCCCAAAGGCTACTACTGTGGGTTGGTTTGGAGTGAACTAGAGTTATTTCTTAATATTCTGCTCTCTTTTTGCTTCATTCCTTCCCTTCCTGCAGGCTTCTCAGGAGTCACCACCCTTGTACACTAAGGAGGAAGTGTATTCCCACAGAAGCCCTGAGACTGGGATCTGGGTAACTCTGGGCTGTGAGGTCTTTGATGTCACAGAATTTGTGGAACTACATCCAGGGGGACCATCTAAGTTGATGCTAGCAGCTGGGGGTCCCCTAGAACCCTTCTGGGCCCTCTATGCTATTCACAACCAGCCCCATGTATATGAGTTACTGACTCAGTACAAGATTGGGGAGCTGAAACCTGAAGACAGTGCACCCCCCACCTTGGAAATATCTGACCCTTATGCTCATGATCCTATGCGACATCCAGCCCTAAATGTCAACAGCCAACGTCCCTTTAATGCGGAGCCTCCTCCTGAGCTGCTGACAGAAAACTACATCACACCTAACCCTATCTTCTTCACCCGGAATCATCTGCCTGTGCCTAATCTGGACCCAGACACCTATCGTTTGCATATAGTAGGGCCACCTGGAGGTCAGTCACTGTCTCTATCCTTGTGTGACTTGTACAAGTTTCCCAAACATGAGGTCACAGTCACTTTGCAGTGTGCTGGCAACCGGCGCTCTGAAATGACTCAAGTCAAAGAAGTAAGAGGTCTAGAGTGGAGAACAGGGGCCATCAGCACTGCACGATGGGCTGGGGCACGGCTCTGTGATGTATTAGCCCAGGCTGGTCACCAACTTTCTGAAAATGAGGCCCATGTCTGCTTTGAGGGACTGGATTCAGACCCCACTGGGACTGCCTATGGAGCCTCTATCCCTTTGGCTCGGGCCATGGATCCTGAAGCTGAGGTCTTGCTGGCATATGAGATGAATGGGCAGCCTTTACCTCGTGACCATGGCTTTCCTGTGCGGGTGGTGGTTCCTGGTGTGGTAGGTGCCCGCCACGTCAAATGGCTGGGCAGAGTGAGTGTGGAGCCAGAGGAAAGTTACAGCCACTGGCAGCGGCGGGATTATAAAGGCTTCTCTCCATCTGTGGACTGGGATACTGTAGATTTTGACTCAGCTCCATCTATTCAAGAACTCCCTATCCAGTCAGCCATCACAGAGCCTCGGGATGGAGAGACTATAGAGTCAGGGGAGGTAATTGTCAAGGGCTATGCATGGAGTGGTGGTGGCAGGGCTGTGATCCGGGTAGATGTGTCCCTGGATGGGGGGCTAACCTGGCATGCAGCTGACCTGGATGGAGAAAAGCAGCCACCCAGGAAGGCCTGGGCCTGGCGTCTATGGCAGCTGCAAGCCTCTGTGCCAGCTGGACAAAAAGAATTGAACATTGTTTGTAAGGCTGTAGATGACAGTTACAATGTGCAGCCAGACACAGTAGCCCCAATCTGGAACCTGCGAGGTGTACTCAGCAATGCCTGGCACCGTGTCCATGTCCATGTCACATCATGAGAGCATGGAATGGAGTCAACTATCCTATAGAAAACACCTTGACCCCTTTCCCCACCCATCCTTTGGTCTTCTGCCACAGAAAAACCTTTTCCTCTTCTCCACTTCTTGGATCAAAAACTTGTACTGTGCCTTCCTAAGTCATATACAGGTATTCATGCATTGCACATTCCCACCCAGGCATCCTCTCTCCTTTGACAGTATGTTACATACCCCTCCTGGCCTCTAACCCTGTGCCAGAAGATAAGAGCTGTTGGAGCAAGGGAGACTAGAGGCAAGAAAAATAATTCTGGAGCCAAGCACCATTTTCTCGTCCTATGCCACCTCCACTTCTAAATGCTTGTTGCTGTCCAGGCTGTATTTTGTTTTTCTTGGATTCTTCAGAGAATGTGTATGGTGTGTGTAAGAAAAACATATACTACTTTCTACTGCTTCTCTGGGTTGTAATGGGCTTGTGGGGGCATTGAAAGGCATAATCCCTCTCCATTTATCTAAATACATCAATAAAGTGTCTATTTAAGATTGTGAGTCTGGGGCCTCTGGGGCCTGGGGAATTGTCATGTTGCAAGAGGGAAGTATTGGCACAGGTGAGATTATACCAAAGCCAACAAATGGTGGTGTTGGTAGGAGGTGGGAAGTGGAGGAAAGCAATCTCTGGGAAGTCAAGGAGTGGGGCTTCAGTTTGTTATTTTGAGGTCCGTCGTCATCTGCTGTGTTGCCTACGTTATTGACCCCGGGGTACCCCTTAAGAGATTATTTTAAAAACATTTGGTACCCTCAAACCGCTATCCCGCTAACTGTATGCGCTTGGCAGGAAAGGCAAAGAATGTTAAGAGGTTGACATCAATAGTCTTAGGAACGGCAGGGGCAAAACTCGGCACTAGCGGGGCTGAGAAGCACAGGGTTCGATTCTCAGCACCTCATATAAAGACCCAATGACAACTAAAAATTTTTTAAAAAACCTCGGTACTAGGGTCAGACGTGTCAGAACGTGTGTGGCGCCCAAAGTAGACCTAGTTTGCAAATTAGATGCAGACGAAGGGGTAGTATTTTCGAGTTATCCTCTAGGAGCTACAGAACCATTCGGACTTGAATCTTTCGGCACTCGGCTACTCTCCCCTAGCCCTTCTTTTTTCTCCCCAGCAGTCTCCCCGGCTTGGGGGCGCTCGGCGTTCGGCCCAGCTGCCTGTCGCCTGGCAGTGGGACCGGAAGTTGTTCGGGAGGGGGGAACGGCTCTGATGGGGGGGGAGTTGTGGGGGGGCCGGTCCCTCCTCAGGTGAAGCCGCTGATGGAGATGAAGCCGCCGCCGCCGCCGCTGAGTGCACAAGTCCTGGCTCCGGCCTGGCTGCCGCCGCCTCAGTGACCCCACTGCCCCCGCACTGGGCCACCCGGGCCAGAGTGGGGGACCCCCGCCCCCCTCTTCCCCACCCTAAACAGCCTGCGCGCGCGCGGAGACGCCTCAGGTGAGTGAGGGGCGGGGCTTCGACCAAGTGGGGGCGGGGCCTCAGCAACGGGGGCGGGGCCTTAGGGGCTTGGGCGTGAAGTGAGGGGAGACGTGGGCGGGCGAGGGGTGAGCTGAGGAGGGAGGGACGTTAGCTTGCCTGGGGCACTTTGGCTTGAGGCCCCAGTATTGGGGCAGGGAGAGCAGGGATCTGAGGGTCCAAAGGCAGGAGGTGGGTCAAGCCAGAAGACTGAAAATAGGGAGCAACTGGCATGCACGAGGCTTCTCCGTGGGTATGGCTAGGGTGGAACAGAGGGACAGCCGGGAAAGGAGAGGGTATCAGAGGACGAGAATCGAGAAGACTGGAGGAAAAAACATAGGCCTAGGTGAGAACATCTGGGAAGCAATGAGCAAAGTGGGAGAGATGTGTTAGAGAAGAAACTTGGGATGGAGTGCTGTCTACAGTACTAGTTGGGGTAAGAAGTGTAAGGAACTTGGGAAGCAAGGCTGGGAAGGAAGGGATTCACTGTATAAGAGTCCTAAGAAAGAAATGCAATCTAGGAAGCCCTAGGGAAGACATCCTGATGGAATTACAAACTTGGGGAGCACTCCCTGCTTCTTCAGTACTAAAACAGCCCTCCATGTGCCTTTTTGTATAGACCCATCCCCAGTTATTTCCTTACCCCTTGTCTGCTAGAGTTGTAGATTTTCACTTTTAAATTTTTATTGGATTTCTGTTTTGTTTTCTTTTGTTTAAATTATGGCTAGTCCTGTCTTGGGGACAGTAGAATGTTTAGTGGAATATGGACCTTTAGATATGAGATATTTGAGAACTAAGGTAACCCATTTACCCCTTCAGATCAAGAATTTACTTGACTCTGCTTCCAGGAAGATTTGATGCATTACCAACCACTGTGTGTCCAGCTTTGCATACCTTATTTGGCCTCTTCTCTCATAAGCAAAATTATCTGTGTGAGTCTTATCTATTCTTACATGTTTAGTAACTTCTATTGTACCTGTCTTAATGGTCTAAGACCTCAAAGCATCCATGGTAACTTTGGTATCCTCCTGACCTGCTCACCTGTCAGCTTTAGGCCTTCCATCCCTATGGCCATCCAGAAGACCATTGGGACCTGGCTATCTCTCTTCACTGATGCTGCTTATTTTGCTTGTGTGAAAGTACACATATCCTTAAGAAGCATGAAAAACAGGTGTCTGACTTCCTTGAATATTTCTAGTTAAGTAGGATTTTGAGGAAAGGACCAGATAAAAGGCTAAGTAAGATAATCTTTGAAAGCATAGTGCCTTGATTAATAGGCATGTAAGAAATGCCTAGGAATGGGCTGGGGTTGTGGCTCAGTGGTAGAGTGCTTGCCTGGCATGTGTGAGGCACTGGGTTCAATCCTCAGTGCCACATAAAAATAAAGGTATTGTGTCCATCTACAACTAAATATATTAAAAATAATTTTTAAAAAATGTTGGCCAGTAAGTCAGTGAATCTTCCTTGGCGGTATGCAAGGGACTTCAGGCTTCCCTACTAACAACCTAAAGCTGGAATCCAGGTGCCCCTTGGATCATGAGAACAGTCAGATGAGTGACTCCTGAGATAAAGTCTTAGAAGAAAATAATCCTACCATTGGGGAGTAGAGAGGTTTCACTGGAGCTTCTGGAGTGGGCCTCAGGGTAGTGGAAGCTACCCTCTTTTGGGCAGCCTCAGAATTGTATCTTGTCGTAGTCACTAGATATTGATGTGTCATGCACAAGATGTAATGTCTTTGTGGCCATTGAGTGCAGTTAGTTGTTTTTTGGCTTCTAGGCAGTCCTCTTCCTCTCAGTAGGTTAAAGGCAAGGCATATTTTAGGACGTACTCAGAAATAAATCCTAACTTTTTTCCAATGAAAATGCAACTGAACGTTTCTTTTTATTTCCTCTTAGTTTCAAATCTGAAACTTGTACTTCCCAGCATGGGAGAAACTTATCCTTCCTTATACTCTACCCCAGTCCCCAACATCCACAAAGGAATTCTTTACTCTTAGATTGGTGCACTATCTCCCTCCCTCTCTGTACCCCCCAGGCCCCCACCAGAGTAGTTAAGGAAATTAAAGATAAGTTGATATTGAGCAGATATTTTTAGCCTTATTTTAATCTGCAGGAACAATAAGAGTGTGGGACCCTGTTGGTATGAACAATGTCACAGGCAGAGGGACTCCCTTTCTTTATTGGTCTCTTGACTGATTGCTGGAGAAAACTTGGAATTCTAGGCTTTATGATTTGCCTTCTTTTCTTAGTAGAGTTATGGACTCTGTTCTGGAAACAGAGAGACAGGGTCAAGGTTTAACAGACAAAAACATCTTAAAAAGTACACTGCTGATTATGAATGAGCTGGTCCCTGGATGTTGTATCCACCTTGTAGACTCTGATGCGACACACTTGCTGGAGTAATCCCTAAATCAAGGAATGTTGTTCTATTGTAACAAGACTTAGCATCAGACTTTGTTTGGTATTTTCCTCAGGCCCATAATTTCTGAAAAGAGACATGGCAGTAAGAGGATTAGTTCTTCTCTTATGCATAAGTCCTTGTTTCCAGTTCAAGGATTTAAGTCACCAAGATGAAGATCTAAAAACTGTTCACCTTATAACCTAAGAAAGAAGGCAAGTAAGGTGGCCCAAACCTTCTAGTTGCAGTGAGATTAAACTTTCTACTCCAGAGAAGAGAACCACTGGAAGATTCTAATGGTGCTACTTCTGTTGTCAAACACATAAATGACTCTGGGCTTAGTTTCTTCTGTTAAAAATCATGGGATTATAGATCATTTCTTAACTCCATTCCAACACCTGTCCTAGGCCCTCCATACAAAGAAGAGAGGCTTATCAAACTTGTTTGTCAAAGCAAGATTCTTTGTTAGCAGAGAAGCCTAAGAAATATTTCTCTCTCTCTCTCGCTCTCTCGCTCTCTCGCTCTCTCTCTCTCAATGGTGCTAGGGATCAAACTCAGGGCCTCACACATGCCAGGCAGGTACTCTACCACTGAATCATATTGCCAGCCCCAAAATGAACTCTTTTGATTAGTGTGTATTAGGGACTTTGAGCCAAAATTGCTACTAAAGATAGTTATTCCCATCTCTCCCACATTTTTGTCATTTTTATCACCTTACCCCAATCAGAATAGTTAATGGTAATTTCAAACACTTGAGAGAACTATTCCTGTTTTGAGCAACTTTGGCTTCAAAACTGATTATTAGCTGGACATGGTGGCATATGCCTATAATCCCAGTGGCTTGGGAAGCTAAGACAGGAGGATTCACATTCAAAGCCAGCCTCAGTAGCTTAGCAAGGCCCTAAGCAACTTAGCAAGACCCTGTCTTAAAATAAAATATAAAAAGGGCTGGGAATGTTGCTCAGTGATTAAGTGCCCCTGGGCTCAATCCCCTGTAACAAATGGGGGAAAAAAAAAAAGACTGATTATTATAAAACTCAAATTGAACTCCCCTGCTCTATTTTTCCCAGCTGCCCAAGCATACAACTGAACAGCAGTGACCTTGTGGGGCCTTTTCATAAATATTTGTGTACTCAGAGATATATCAAAAAAACCCAGAAAGTATCTTGTGCATCACACCAGGCAATTTAAAGTGTTACATTGGCCCTTTTCCTTAGTTCTTTACATCCTGCAGTGAGACATGGGATTGTTTCTTCTCCCACCAATAAACCTCAGCCTTCTCTCTCTTCCAGTCTGCATAAGGAAGACAGGGAATCACAAAGAACAAGAGAAAAGATGTGCTTCATCTGAGATCTGAAAGGAGACAATGAGGTGACATTATTTTCCTCCACCCAGATGTTATGTTTCTACCTTTTACCTTTTCTTATTTTAGAGACTGGCCATTCCTAGGATAATTGGGAATTCATATCCTCTGCTCTGCTCTTCAAGCATTTGGATAATAAAGCTGAGCTGTCTTCATGTGTATTATACATACACAGCCACCATCTACAACCTGGTAAAATCTGAGGTCTTTCTTCTATAAAGACAGATACATGAAATAAAGGTTGCTGAGTTTCCTTCAAAAGCTTCTAGGTGTATCCTACAGATTATTTCAGAGCTTCAACTTGCTCTCTATGTCTAGGTCTGTGTTTTGGAAAGGGGGATGCAGTTTGCAGACAATGCCTAATTCCATATCTTCCCAGCCCTTTCCCTATCCCTAATTCTGCAAAGCCCTGGTAGAGAATAGAGCCAGCTATGTGACTCCAACATATTTTTGTTCATGTCTTATTCAGTTCAGGAAGGCACAGACAGGAGAGGATGATGCTGTGGGTTTGGTCTACTTGGAGTACCTGAACTGCTCACACCCAAGGCACATGGGAAGTTCTTTCTTATTAAGAATCACTGGGCTGGTGGGGGGCGGTTGGGGTTGTGGCTCAATGGTAGAATGCTCATCTACCACGTACAGGGACCTGGGCTCAATCCTCAGCACCACATAGAAAATAAATAAATAAAATGAAGATTTTGTGTCCAACTACAACTAAAAAATAAACATTAAAAAAAAAAAAAAAAAAAAAAAAGAACCACTGGGCTCCACCACAGAACCCAGGTCCTAAGGGAAACCAGATAAAAATTTCCACTTCTCCCAGCTGCAGTTTGGGAATAATAACCAAAAGGATGACATGGAGCCTTGCCACTGTCTCCATCTTCACCCTCTTTCTGAACATTCTCCTTGCCACCTTTCTACCCATTAGGCCACAATGAGTATGTTTTATTTTTTATTTTTTTCAGTTCTGGGGATTGAACCCAGGATCTCACACATACTAGATGAATGCTTTACTACTGGGCTACAACCCCAGCCCCAATGAATGTGGTTGGTTGATTGGTAGGTTGATTTTGGTACTAGGGATTGAACCCAGGGGCACTTAACTACTAAGATATATCCCCAGCCCTTTCTGCTTTTTATTTGAGACAGGGTCTCTCTAAGTTGCTTAGGGCCTTGCTAAGGAGGCTGGCCATACACTTTTGATCCTCCTGTCTCAGCCTCTGGGGCTGCTGGGATTACAGACATGTGCCGCCTGGCCCCAGAACTTTTTATTTTTTATTTTGAAACAGTCTTATTAAATTGCGGAGGCTCACCTTGCATTTGCAATCCACCTGCATCAGTGTCTCAAGTAGCTGAGATTATAGTCGAGCACCACCCTGCCTGGCTTATGATTGTGTTTTAAATTCCAATTTTAGAGTATATAAGCAAAAATAACCAATATGGTTTTGACATTATAATGAAACCACAAATAACTGGAACAGGAACAGATTTCATGGATCAGCAATGCCTTTTGTTCAGCAGCAGAGTCAGGCATCAGAGGGGCTCACTTTCTGGGTAGAAAATGGCCTCTGGTTACAAAGGGATCTGGGTTTTTATAGGTTCCACTGAGGGGCAACTTTATTACTTCAACAGAATGTGTCAGTTTGGGCATTCAGGAAATAGGTTTAAAAATGTGAAACTTGTGGGCTGGCGATGTGGCTCAAGTGGTAGCGCGCTTGCCTGGCATGCGTGCGGCCCGGGTTCGATCCTCAGCACCACATACAAACAAAGATGTTGTGTCTACATAGTATTAAAATTAAAAAAAAAAAATGTGAAACTTGTTTTTACTGGGCAAGAATCGAAGGTCCAGAGCTCAGGCCCAGTGCTTATCTTGTCCTCCAACGCTCATTGTATTTTCACTGGGATAGGATTAATGTGTGGCTTCATTATCACTGGGAAAGAATATATTGTAAAAGAGTCAATATTTGTCCTCTTCTTATGGACTGCCATTTTAGGATTGATGTTCACCTCCTTCCCAGGGATTGTCTTATCACTGGGAGAGGATTTATTGGGAAATATTAGTTTTGCCTTCTTCCTCCCGCCTGCCTCCCAGGTCACACTCTCTTAGGGGGGTTGTCATTTTCCATATCCTTCAGAGTATCATTGAATAAAACCGGATCCTTTGGAGGATTTGAAGAGTTTTTATTACTAGTAATCCTGGGTTTAATCCTCAATACCAAAAAAAAAAGGTTGGAAAAATAAATAAATGTTGAGAGCCACAGTTTAGTTGGAATGACGCCTGGCATTTTGTTAGAGGGAATGGTTGAAAGGTGACCCTGCTCAGGGACTAGGGTGGCTCCAGGGATTAGGGCAGATCCTGCTGCCTCAGGGCACCTGCTACTTTGGAGCTCCCACTGAGTTCTCCCACTGAGTTCTCCAAGGGGTTCCGGGAGAATTGGTGGAGGGAGTGTATTCCCGGGAAGTGTGGGTAGAGTGCCGGTGAGAGTTCCGGAATAAAGAGTTGCTGTTTGAACCTACAAGGCTTTGTGGCAGCTCGGTTATTTGTGCCCAGCCAGACTGCGGCATTTGGTGGCCCATACGGGGAACGCCTGAAGCTTGGAGGTAAGTGAATGAGATATCAAAAAAAGAGTCAAACCTAGGTGGTAACCAAGATGCTTTTTTTCAATATCTATTTTATTATTGCCTTTTCCCACATCATAAAGTTTCATTTTATTTTTGAGCTCATACAGACCTAGGTTAATGTTTTTCTAATCAGTTCTATTTTTTGACTGTGGAGTTTTTAAACATTGCAATGGAGATTTCACCTGTGAAAAGCTACAAGGCCTTTACTATTATGTTATGTGTTGTATGTATTATGTTATGTGTGCACACTTCTGTTTTGTGTTGTATATCTGTATGTGCGTATGTCCATATATCATATATGAGGAGCACTCATAAAAATATGGATCCAAATATTTTTTTTATTCACGTGATTTAAATGGTTTAATTTAAATTGGGTAAACAGCTATTGAGGATTGTTTTAATATGTGAACAAAAAAGGAGGTTAACAGATCTATTTACTTTCACCTTTCCTTTTCATTATATTTAATAATTCTCTTCAGGATAATGTAAATTGTTCAGAAAATTGCTTTCTTTTAGTGCCTGCTGAAATGTTACATAATTTTTCTTAGCCATTATTGCCAGAATTCCTATCTTCATCCCAGTGCCGGTGAAGACAAAGATAAAACCAAACTACAGCTTCTGCGATAGCTATCACAACAAACTGTATAAACTGATGCATCAATAAATAATAACTCAGCAAGTGATGCTCAATCAAGGAGTCGATTTACTTTGGGAGGAAATGGACATATTAATAGATTCCTCTGCTTTGAACTGTTTGCAGAACTTGCCTGGACTATGTATCACTTGCATGCATTGTGAACTATCTGTTGGTGCAGCGAATTATGGTAGTGCTGGGGTATCTTTGCTGATGGTGTCATCGGTGGTACAATTTTTCCAAAAAGAGCCGTCATTTGGCTTGGTGCCGTGGCATTTTGCATCCTCCTCCCTTCTGCTTGTGATGGTCTAAAATTTGGGGGCCAACAGAGGTGAGGCAAAGAACCTCACCCCCCAACTGGTGCAAAGGCCAAATTTGGGGGCCAATAGAAGTGAGGCAAAGAACCTCACCCCCGCACTGTTACAAAGGCCTATCCACAAGTATGGCTGTATGCTGGACCGGTAGCCAATGACGGATAAGATCCAATTACAATGGTACCAACCTAAGACAGGAGGCTGACGCCTTGAGGTCAGCTCATCTGATGACGGGTAAGGACCATATGTAGTATTAGACAACCTAAGACAGGTTTTTTAACCCTAAGCCACATGCTTGTTGTTTAATTAAACAGAAGGGGGGAGATGTTGAGAGCCACAGTTTAGTCAGAATGACACCTGGCATTTTGCTAGAGGGAATGGTTGAAAGGTGACCCTGCTCCGGAATAAGGCAGCTCCAGGATCAAGGCGGCTCTGGGATTAGGGCGGATGCTACTTTGGAGTTCCTGTTGAGTTCTCCTGGGGGTTCCGGGAGAATTTGGAGGGAGTGTATTCCCGGAGGTGTGGGTAGATGCCGGTGAGAGTTCGGGAATAAAGAGTTGCTGTTTGAACCTACAAGGCTTTGTGGCGGCTCGGTTATTTGTGCCCAGCCAGACTGCGGCAAATAAATAAAAAGTATTATGTTTATGTACAACTGAAAAAAAAAAAAAAAGTGAAGAATCTGAGAGGCTCAGTTGGGCACGCCTATAATCCCAGTGGTTCAGGAGGCTGAAGCAGGAGGGTGGAGAATTCAAAGTCAGCCTCAGTAAAAGCAAGACCTGAAGCAATTCAGTGAGACCCTGTCTCTAAATAAAATACAAAATAGAGCTGGGGATGTGGCTCAGTGATCAAGTGCCCCTGAGTTCAATCCCCAGTACCCCCGCCCAAAAAAAAAAAAAAAAGAATCTGAATATTGTTCAGTGGTAGAGTGCTTGCCTAGCATGTGTGAGGCCCTCCACCACTGGGGTTGGGGGGAAGCAGAAGGATGAGCTGGGAGGATCTTTGTTTCCAAAGGTTACAACGACCAATCTTTGCTCTCTGCTCACAGATTCTTCCATTTGAATTGGGAGGCTGGTTGTTTCTAGTTGGTTTGTATTCAGCTCACTGAGCTGAATTCACAGTACATGTGTGTCTACCTCCATCACTGGATGATGTTTATGTTACTTTAAAGCACTTTGAGCCAAACCTGTCTTGTATAACCAATTTCTCTTAACCTTCTCCTCCTGTAATATTAGCACTAATTTGACCCAGTTCCTCAAAGAGACACTAAGATCTGCCTGCCTGGGCAAGTAGGGGAGGAGGGGTTTTTAGGGATAAAGAATGGGATTGATGGGAGGGATGTGCTGAGGGGAGATTTGAACAAAAGGACAAGTACATCTGCTGATTTGCTCCTAGCTTTCAGAAAACCAGGACTGAGGACAACAGAGTCTCAATACCTCTAACTTCCAGAATCACCAACTTGGCATTTAGAGCAGTTGAAAGCAGCTAAGTATTGATTTTGCCCAAGATGTGTCACAGCACACCTGTTAAGAGCAATTAAGAAGTGGGAGAGCCAGGTGCAGTGATGCATGCCTGTAATCCCAGTGAGTTGGGAGGCTGAGGCAAGAGGATCCCAAGTTGGAGACCAGATTCAGTAACTTAATGAGACACTGTATCAAAATAAAAAAAATAAATAAAAAGGGCTGGGGATGTGGCTCAGTGGTTAAGCATCCCTGGGTTCAAGCCCCAGTACCCCTCCCCACCTCAAAATTTAGGAGAACAGGCATAATGGTTCACTCATATAATTCCAGGTACTGGGGAGACTGAGATGGGAAGATCCCTAGTTTGAGGCCAGCCTGGGCAACTTAATGACACCCTGTCTCAAAATGAAAAATAAAGAGGACTGGAAATGTAGCTTAATGGTAGAGCACATCTAGGTTCAATCCTCAGTACCGACAAATAAATTAATAAGAAAGAACAAGTTGAGTGGCTCTACAGAGAGAAATATGCTAATGCAATATTGTCTGTGTGTGTATGCCTGTGTGAACCAGGATCTAGATAAGCACTAGGTGGGCAGAGCAGTTGAATCATAGTATTCAGCTAACACTGATTCAGAGAGTGCATTTCATTCTTGCATTCTTGATCAAATAGTCCCAAAACAATTTCCAGAAGGGTCTAAAGGATTGCTCTCTGAGTTGGACTTTCTTCCTTGTAGTAAACTGCACTCTGCTACTTTGTGTGTGGGGAGAGGAGTGGGGGTATTGTGGATTTAACTCAGGGGTACTGTACCACTGAGCTACACCCCTAGGCTGGCTTCAAACCTGCAGTCCTGTCTGAGTCTCTGGAGTCACTGGGATTACATGAATGTGCCACTGTGCCTGGCTTGTTCTTCCTTTTTGAGTAACAGACCCCACTCCTACAGGGATCACACCAAAGAAAAGCGGCTTTAATTGCTGTTAGAATGAGCAGAAATCAAGAAAATCCATGAAAGCCTTGAGTAGCCTGGCTTTTGATAAAAAGCAATATGGTGTAATGGAAAGGGATCGCCATAGGGAGAGGCAGGAAACCAATGTTCTTGTTCCTTATTCCAGTCTCACTATGAGTTAAGGGACAAACAACTGCTCTGAGCTTCAGTTTCTCTGAGCAGAAAATGGAGGAAATCTGACTTGCTCTTGCTTTTTCTATATGGGGGAATGTATGAGAGAACTAATTCATGACACTTCAAACTTTGCAGGTGTTTTGAAAAATTCCAAAGGGGACTTTTGAAACTATTGATTTGGAAATGAAAGAGACCCCTATCTGGGCATGGTGGCACATATCTGTAACCAAGCAACCCCAAAGGCTGAGGCAGGAAGATTGCAAATTAGAGGTCAGCCAGGGCAACTTATTGAGACACTTTCTCAAAAAAAAAATAATAATAAAATAAATAAATATATATGTGTGTGTGTGTGTGTGTGTGTATAAATAAATAAAATGCTGAGGATGTAGCTCAGTGAAATAGCACCCTTGGCTTCAATCCCCAGTACCAAAATGGTGGCACATGTCTGTAATCCCAGAAAATTCCAGAGCAGCTTCAGCAGTTTAGCAAGATTCTGAGCAAATTAGCAAGATTCTGTATCAAAATAAAAACAATAAAAAGGACTGGGGATGTGGCTCAGTGGTAAAGCACTCCTGGGTTCAATCCCCAGTACTAAAGAGAGAGAGTGAGAGAAGAGAAAGAAATGAAAAAATAAGGAAATAGGGGTCAAATATAAATGTAGAGAATTTTCCCCTCACACCTAGGATTGAGACTACAAATCTTTCTGATGAAATGTAAGGGAGAGTTACTTTGCAGAGTGAAGCTAAACCCATGATTCAGGGTTTCTCATGAGCCTTCCTCCAGATAAGAATGAGGAAGGGGCAGGAAAACAGATACTTCTCTCCTGTGTACCTCCCTGAACCCTCTTACTCTCCCTACTTTGGTTTGTTTGTAGTATTACAAACAAACCAAATTTTCATCCATCTGCCTCTGTGACAGCTTTCAAAGAGTTTAAGAATCCTAGTGGTAGCTCAGGCTGTTACCTTGCTCCATTTTGGCTCCACCAAATCTGCCTCTGGGGCATTTGTTTTTTATTAGATGAATGGTAAAAAGCAATTTTAAATGTTTTTAAAATTTCACCAGCTAGATTTCCCCATCTTCTCAAAGGAGAAATCTTCTCCTATGGAGATAATTCATTGCAAAAATTATCACTTTTAATTGTTCTCTAGTTTTTTTGTTTTGCCATGCTGAGAATCACACCCAAGACCTCCTACATATTAGGCAAGTGCACTATCACTGAACTACATCGCCAGTCCTGTTCTCAGTTATTTGTTTGGTGGTGCTGGGGATTGAATCCAGGGCCTTGTGCATACAAGACAAACACTCTACCAACTGAGCTATATCCCCAGCCCAGTTATTAGTTTAATACTCTACTGCCAATTATTGCTCACCTTACCTCAAATAGACCAACCTGCTTTTTAATCTACCCATCTGCTTTTTAAAAAATAAGCATAACAAAGTAATTGACCAGAGGGTATAGAAAGCCACTTAAAAGGTTTGTTTAAGCCAGGCACAGTGGGTCATGTCTTTAATCCCTGCTACTCAATAGGCTGAGGCAGGAGGATGGACACTTCAAGACCAGGGCAATATTTTGAGACCTTGTCTCAGAATAAAAAGGGCTGGGATGTAGCTCAGTGGTAGAGCCTATATTTAGCACATACAGGGTTCAATCTCTAGCATCACCCCCTCCCACACACACATCAAATTTGTTTATACCTTCAGTAGAAAACTTATCACTGAGCCCTAAGGTGGGCTTCTTTCTATCATATTCCACCTTCCTGTTATCCCCACTCCTGCTGCACACCCCAAAAAAGAATCCCACAATCGGCACAGTGGTGCATGCCTGTAATCCCAGAGGCTTGGGAGGCTGAGGCAGGAGGATCGCAAGTTCAAAGCCAGCCTCAGCAATAATGAGGTGCTAAGCAACTCAGTAAGACCCTGTCTCCAAATAAAATACAAAATAGAGCTGGGGATGTGGCTCAGTGGTCGAGTGCCCCTGAGTTCAATCCCTGGTACCCAAAAAAAACAAAAGAATTCCATGAAAGACTGAATTGAGCTTATATTTTTTCCTACTCCTTCTTAACTGAGGTCTGGCATCTCTACAGGGCTGTTTCTTCATCTCTTGAGGGCTGAAGTATAAACTAGCTCCTATGGCATCAGCTCCACTACAGGGAGAAGGTATACTCTCAAAACCAAGACCATTCTAGACCAAGGTAGTATTTCTACCCCAGAGGCTGGGGAGGCCTGAAGAGGTTGTAGGTAGGAGGAAATCTTGGGGCTTGGAAGGCAGAGTACATTATTTTTCTCACCAGGACAAAGTACTTTAGGATAGTTTCAGACCATGCTTACGTGATCTTCTAGTTTTCTTGCTTACTCCAGAATGTTAAAAGAAAAACCTTATCCCTTCCTAGATCTGACTTCTAATAGCAGCTGTTTTCTCTTTAAACAGATCTCTTTAAGATGGACATAGAAGACTGCAATGGCCGCTCCTATGTATCTGGTATGCCTTCTATGTGTTTCATTTGGACAGGCTGGGAGCAGACACTGATCTGTGGGGCAGGGCAGAGAGCCTTTAACTCAAGCACACCACCTCAACATAAACATCAGTCATTGAGCTGACATTCACTTTTGGTGGTAGTTGATAGTGGCACACAATCATTTTGTGATTTTTATATTCCCTAAAATAGTAACTCTTTCCCAGACTTCTTGGGGAATAAGGAAGAGGAAAGGAAATAGGAGAGGACTATTAGTGGACACTATTAGAGGGATGATTTGAAGTAAATAGAAGATGTGGTTTCTTTTCCCATGCTCTGAAATAACCAGCCAAAATAAAATTCTGTCCCATCCAAGTAGAAAGTGGAGCAGTGTTTCAAACCTCAGAAGCCCACAGGGCCTAGGAAGGTGTATGAATGAAGTGAGCTAGGTCAGTTAGCAGAAGAGAATAGGAAGGACTGACATGAACTAGAGAACATACCTCAAGGAACAGCAGCTATTCAGAGTCCACTAGTGATTGCCATATGGTAATTTGTATCTTCCAACTTTTCATTAGACATCAGAAATCTGAATTTTTATATGAAATAATTCTGTTTTACAATAATACTTTTTTTTCTGTACTGGAATTAAACCCAAGGATATTCTACCATTAAACTACATCCCTAAATTACTCAGACTGACCCCAAACTTGTAATCTTCCTGCCTCAGCCTCCTGAGTAGCTGGGATTGATTACAACTGTATGCCACCATGCCTGGCTGTCAGTGTTTTAGAAAATGTTCCATAACACAAGTCAAAACTATCTATGAGCTGAATTCAGCCCATGGACTACCAGTTTGCACCTTCAAAGGTAGGAATAGAGAGCCCAATTCACATTCCCCTCAATCCTTTTCCATAGTCTTAGCATGATATAGCTTTTCACACCTACCAAATATTCTTACTGAGGCAGAAGAAATCATTACATGTAGTATGAATTGCTTTTGGAGATATCAGAATAATCAGGTTTAACAATTTTAATGATGTAAAAAGAAATCAGAAACTTTATCCAGATCCTTTTCTGAGAGTATAGGAAAGAGTCTCTAAGATGGAAAGAATTATTTTTGGGACCATTAGAACGTCAGGGCAAGAAATGATTATAAGAGGTAAGGGAAGTCAGAATTAGGTTTTGATGTGATGAGTTTCCCCATCAGAAATCCAAGAACCATTGTTGTAATGACCTGTAGTTTGTTTTTACTCTAGAGTGGGACCAATGAAGGAATTATTGGCATGCACTACGAGAGATAGCAAGACGGGTGGGTCACACTCTGTGCAACACCCAGGTAATGTGCATAAGATGTTGACTCTGACCCATTTCTCATTTAAGAGAGAAGGAATTGGAATGGATAAAGACATTCAGTACCTGCCACATGCTGAACAGAATGACAGGGATCAGATGGGCTGATCCAATTGAAAAAGACTAATGGAACTAAGTCATGGTTCTAAGGAACCAGCCAGTCCTCCTACCTCCTGCTTAGTTAAGCCTATTCATTACTGAGCAAGAAATATGTTCAGGACCCTGCATTAGTGCTGGGGAGCACTCATATGGATAAAAACCAATCCCTCATGCAGAGTAGGTTAATGAGAAACTATGAAAGTTGCTGGGGGACTATCCCATGGGGCTCTTTTCAGTAGTGTCTCTAGAAACTACTGGATACTAGCAGAAAACTTCTGAGGATGTTTGCTTCACTGTGTCGTGAAATCAAACTTCACCTGCTTAGAGAAAGTTGGCATTTTCTAGATAAGAAACAGGCTCTGCACTGATGGTTCTTGATTGAGAGTAGAGGCCTAAAACTCCTTATCTGTGCTTTGAAAATTCTAGATGTCAGAAGCTACCTTAGAGGGAAAAACAAGATAGGGCTAACACTGGCTTTAAACAATGCCCCCTGTAGGACTGGGCATTGCTGAGACAGTTCACCCGAGGGGCATCTGAGAGCCCATCACTGACCCACCTTCTCCTGGATTGATATGGAAGCAGAGGGGTGGGCTACAGTGTACAACCCTCCTAATAAACACCACAGCTCCTTATCAGGTTGTCACTACTGTGTGCCTCCATGCCAGGTTGTATTCCCTCACCTGGCCACTGATGAAGGCAGTAGCTTTCCTGTTCTTTAAAGAGATTTTACCTCACAGAACCTGATTCAGAAAGTCCTTTTATTGTGTGTGTGTGTGTGTGGTGTGGTGGTGCACACCTGCAAGTTCAAGACCAACCTCAAGCAACTTAACAAGTCCCTAAGCAACTTAGTGAGACTCTTCTCAAAAAGTAAAAAGGGCTAGGGATATAGCTCAGTGGTAAAGTGCCCCTGGGCCGAATCCCCAGTACCCACTCTGCCAAAAGAACAAAAAGAAAAGTCCATTTTTTCCCTCTCCCTTTCTCTTTCTAAAGGCACAGATCATTATTACCATGAGAGAGAAAAGGAGTCCATTAATTTACAGCACAGATTTCTATACTCCCTTCCCACACATACATGCCCCTATCTTGCAAAAGAAATGTAGTTGCTCAAACCTAGCTCATGCAATTAATTGACTGAGCAATGCTTGTCCAAAGTATTATAGGGCTGTAAAATATTTAAGGGAACCTTAAGAGAAAAAGATCCAGGGGTAGGCAGCCCGAAGTTTCATGGCCCCTCCTATCCCCAAATTCTTGGAATTAGAAAATGTAGTCTTCCAAAGTAGGTCAGCTCCTCAGTGAACAGCTCCTCTGGAAGGGAAGGGAGCAGAGGCCTTGTCCTTTAAGAGGGTAGATTCATCCAGGGCTGTGGGCTGCTGGAGCCCCAGGGGCACAGGAAGGAGGAGAGGCCGGGAGTTTGTACCAACCTTTTTGCCTGGGATCTGAAAAGGCTCAGGGCCACAGAGCACCAGTATCCTGAGACCAGATTGTGCTGGGCCCTCTGATTGCTGGGAAAGGGGGCTGTCAGTCCCCAGACCTCCCTCCTGGAGGAGGAGGGGAAAAGGGAACACGGTGCCTGAGTTTGCTGGGGGAGGGGCTGTCTGCCAATTGGAAAGCCTTGAAGCTGCCCCGTGTCCTGGGCCCCATGACCTCTGGGGCCTTGGCTTCCCCAGCTGGCAGAGGATTGAGCCTTCCCTTGGGCCCCCCTTTTCTCCCTCCTGCCCGCAGGCCCATCCATCTCTCTCTCTCTCACTCTCTGTCTCTCTCTCTCTCACTCTCTGTCTCTCTCTCACTCTCTCTCTCTCTCTCTCCCTCCCTCCCTCCCTCCCTCCCTCCTCTCTCAAGCATTTGTCGTGCAGTTCTTCTTTGTCTGCTGGGCAGGAGGGCAAAAGCACCCACCTCCCCTCCCTGTATACCCCCCACCCCTTCACTGTCTTAGAAAAGGGATGCTGTAGCTTAGCATCCCCCCACCATACACATATATACATTTTCTCCAGCCCCCTCCCCAAGCACATCCAAGCGTGTTTTCTCCCTCTCTCTTTCTCTCTCATTCCACCCCCCGCCCCAACACACATACACTCTGGACTGAGCTGTTTCTTGCTGGCTGCAGCCGTGGGCCCCTGCTCACCGTGCCGCTGCCGCTGCCTGCGAAATGACGGCGGTTCCCCTCACTTCCAGGAATCCACGCTTCCTGGAAGGTGAGTGGCTGGGCTCACCCCTGCCTGCCACCGAGACGCAGACATGCACACACCACCCGCACTCCCTCGCCGTTTCCAAGGCGGCGGCCGTGTTCGCACCCCAGGGTCTCACCGGCAAGGGAAGGATAATGTAAGTTCAGGCAGAAGGCGGCTAGTGGAGGGGGGAAGGGGGGTGCTGGGGCTAGGGAGCCAATTCAGTAACAACTCCCAAGCCTGAGAGGGAGAGGATGGGGGCTGTGTGTGTGTAGCGGGGGAGGGGGCGTTCCTCCTTACACTTGCGGAGGATGGGAAAGGGTGTTTGGTGTTGCTAAGCAAAGACCATTGACTTGGACAGTGGGAGCTTGTGGTGACATCTTGATTAGGCCTTGGGGACAGAGGTACTGCTGCCTGGGGTGAAATACCAAAGCAGACCTGGGTGGGAATGGGTGATAGAGAATTGAGGTAAGGAATAGGCGCCTTGACAGCAAATGCCTCAGCCTGGAACCAAGATCTAAGGGGCCTCAGCCTCCTCCCCACAATAGAGCTGAGGATGGGCGTCTTTCTTTGCTCATGTACCCACTGTTCCCTGCTAGCAGGCTAGCATCCTGCCACCTGGAGCCCACAGTCAACAGAATAAGCAGTCAGGATGAGGTCCCTTGCAGAGAAGTGTGGAGGCTCGCTGAGCTCATGGCTGTTCTCTAGAGGTAGCCACTCTCTGAAAGGATGGGGAGAGGGCAGCGGGAGCAGAGGGCTTGTCTCCTTAAACATGTGAGACACATTTATCTTTTGCACTGCTTCCCAGTTCCTTGCCTCCTGTTTCTCTGCCCTTTACCTACCTCTCAGTTCCTCTGATGTGAACCTCATGATTTGGCTTTGCCCTCTGGGGGTTCAGCCAATCTATGATGACTTTGACCAAGAAAATTTCTCTAAGACATTAGAGCAGCCTTAATTCTTGGCTTTGACAGTCTGGGATTTCTTGGGAGTCCCAGGCATTTGAAATTCCCTCACTGAGGTTTCTGGGGCTGAGAGAGGAACTGCTGAATTTTCTAAATCCAACTCTAGTCCCCTTCACCCTCTGGCTAGAATTCAAAAATCCCTGGAGCCCCACAAATACTTGCTGACCCCCAAAACAAATTCAGTCTTATGTTTTAGTCCCATGAAAGTAGACTTAATCCTGTTTTCTCTCTTACCTTTATCCTAGGGAGGGCAATAGCATCAGTAAGCCTTTGGAATTACTGGTGGACTTGAGGCTCCTGGAGCTTTCTCACCTGTTTCCAGGCCTTAATTGGGAAAGCCACAGATGCTTTCTCCTCAGTGTCCTTAAATATTCCTTTAAGGATACCTTTCCCATATAGTAAGCCCCTGGCCCCATAAGGCAGCCTCAGCCCTGGTAAGCTGAGGCTAGCTATGGATTTCAGCAAGCTCACCTATCCTTTTAGGATCAAGGTCTAGCACCAGGCCCTGTTCTTTCCCTGTAACTAATATCAAGTGATTTAGAGCAAGTCACTACTAACATTTGAAAATGAATAAGAAGATGCCCTTTTCAGACCTTCTAACCTTGGTAATCCTACACTTAATGGAAAGGTCATATTTTAAAACTGGGTCTGAGTCCACAAGTCTTAACCCACAGTCCTGAGATGCTCGCTTCATGATATGTGTGTGGTTCTGATTTCAGGCAACTTTTCAAGGAAGCCATGGCTCACCTAAAGAGCCCCAGCTGGGAAAACTCAGATTCAAGCTATACATAAGGCTTTTTCTATAGATAGTGAACAAATTTCCTCAGGTTTTGATGGGATAGCATGGGGGAAATGGGACTCTTAGGAGAGGATATGAATGGGAAATGGTCCCAAAGTCCTGAGTGGTTGTTTTCTTCCCACTGACCAAAGCTGGAGAGGGATCCCTCAGGAGGGTGTGTTCCGGATTTCTTGCCTCAGGCCCAAGACTCCAACCATTTTATAATGGAATCTTTATTTTGTGAAAGTAAGTATGTGCATAGCTGGGCAATTGGGTAAAGTACTAATAGGTGGACTTTAGGGATGAATTTTAGGGTTTGTCTCTCCTCTCTCTCTCCCTCTCCCTCTCTGTCTCTGTCTGTCTGTCTGTCTCTCTCTCCCCCCTCTCTCATCCATATTTAGGCCTATGTGCACATAACAATGCATGTTCATGTTAGCAGATAATATAGAAGGCTATGGGTATGTTTATTTCAGTAGGTATGTTCTCTTTATTCTCTATGTAGCTACATATTGCTTTGTGTCTGTATATGTGTTTATCTACATGTGTTTTTATTTCACTGTTATATTTATGCAGAAGATTGTGGGGAGGAGGGATTTTTTAAAAGACACTCATATTTTCAGGTATGTTATTTGATTTTTGAAAACATTATGATACTCTCACAAGCATTTTACAAAACAATTTATCAAGAAATTAAAATGAATATATTGAGGGTAAACTCATTATTTAATTCTCAAGGGAACATCAAATAGTAAATATGTGACTGAAATCAGATCAGCTTTCTGAAGTACTCAAATTTTTTGCTGAATTTTGAAAGTGTAATGGACCCAACTCCCCCTGGGACAGTGATTCCCAGTTGGCTGAATAAGTGATGGTCAAGGAATGGGCACTTACTCTCTGTGACCTGATCCCAGCTCCACCACTACCAGCTATGTGACCTTAGATAAGTAACATAATCTCTCTTATGACTCCTTATCTGAAAAATTAACACAATATTATTTTGTAGAGTTGTTTTAAAGATCAAAGGAGATAATTCATTTATCTGGGTTCTATATAGAATAATGCCTGGCACATAGTAAGCACCAGAAACATTAGCTACTATTACTGTTGTTACTAATATTATTATTAGATTCAGGGACAATTCCAACTGCCCTTCCTACAGATCCTGAACCCGGTAGTGGGCCTCCAGAAAGGAACAGGAGGACTGGACATGGTGGTACTGTAATTCCAGTGACTCAGGAGGGCTGAGACAAGAGGATCACAAGTTCAAAGCCAGTCTTAGCAACTTAGCAAGGCCCTAAGCAACTTAATAAGACCCTGTCTCAAAAATAAAAGGGGCTAGGGATGTGGCTCAGTGGAAAAGCACCCCTGGGTTCAATCCCTGATACCAAAAGAAAAGAAAGGAACAGTAGGAAAGAACATTGTTCTAATTCACCTCCTCTTCAGGCCCCTATTTTCCTCTCTACCCTGGCCCGCCCAGCCAGTCCTGCTTCCTGCAGACGTCAGGCAGTGATGCTCTTCCCCTCAGGCCTAGATAAAGGTAGAGTAGACAAGGCCCAGCACTGAGCTCACGGAAGTTGGCATTGGGCACTAAGCTGGTAGGGGCACAAGGTATGGTGCCATGCATACAACACAGCTTTGTACATGGCTATGGGATTAGTGTTTGTGAAGTTTAACTGAATTTTTTTAAAAATTAGGCAATGGACAGTATATGGCTCTAGCCCCAGCCCCAGCTTTACCTGCCTTCTTGTTCTCTCCTCTAAGGTAGCGGGGACTCATCTCTGGAGAAGGAGTTCCTTGGGGCCCCAGTGGGGCCCTCGGTGAGCACCCCCAACAGCCAGCACTCTTCTCCCAGCCGCTCACTCAGTGGTAAGTCAAACTCCTACCCCTCCTGGCACTCAGCACCCCTATTTTTGTTTGGCCCGCAATTCACCTTCCATAGGCAACCATTTTCCCATCATCACCTCCTTCTGGTCTCCTGCTTAGAGTCTCTAAAACCATGAAAGAACTGGACCTGGTGGCCCACACCTCTAACCCCAGCAACCTGGGAGGCTGAGGCAGGAGGATCACAAATTCTAGGGCAACCTCAGCAACTTGGGAGGCCCTAAGCAACTTAGCCCTAAGACCCTGTCTCAAAATAAAAAACAAAAAGGACTGGGAATGTAATTCAGTGGTTAAGCACCACTGGGTTTAATCCCCAGTACCAAAATAAATAAATAAATGCATAAAGGAGTTTAGCATCTGGCTTCTGAAAACAGTAGTCACTGCCAGACAAGGGTGGAACACATGGGTGGCATTAAGATGAAGTAGGTAAATTCTGGAACTGGAGAAGTCGGTAGATAGAAATGGTCATTAGAGATTGATAGGAAACAGAGTAAAAGGACCTCATCTCCCCATACCATGTACTCCTGCCCAGGCAGGAGCTCCCTGACTGCCCCTCCCCAGTTGGCCCTAGATCTATGACATTCTCTAAATGGTTGAAATAGCCAGGAATGTAGGTCAGAGCTAGAGCCAAAGCCTTCTCCTCAATAGCTCCTCCCTCTTATACTACCCCCCTCTCAGATTTGTATGGAGGGAATTGGGGGGGGGTTCAGTCTTTTGGGGCAGGAGGATAATGGAAGCCATGCCTATCTTCCAGTTTTTCTCTCTTTAGTTTGCTGTCCCTCTTCAGTCTTCCTAGGACTGTTTTCCCGCCACTGTTACTTGTTGGCTTCCTGCCCAGACCCAAGCCAGACATCTTTCTTAATGACAAGAGAATAGAGAATAAGCTGCCTCCTTTCCCCAGTGACAGAATACATCCTATGTACCTCAACTTTTTTCTCTTAAAGCCTGTTTTGAGTGGGGGAATACCAGGGATTGAACCCAGGGGCACCTAGCTACTGAGCCGCATCCCCAGCCACTTTTATGTTTTATTTTGAGACAGAGTCTTACTAAGTTGCTTAGGGCCTTGCTAAGTTGCTGAGGCTGGCTTTGAATTTGTAATCCTCCTTCCTCAGCCTCCTGAGTGTTGGGATTACAAGTGTGTGCTACCATACCTGGCTTCTTGAAGCCTGTGTGGTTTTTTGTTTGTTTGTTTTGATTTTTTTTTTTTTTTTGGTGGGTGGGAGAAAAGGGGAATGTTGTTTCAGGTTGCAGAGGACTCTGTTATCACCACCCAGGATACTAGGGTATTGACTCTGTCTTAAGGCCTGTAGGTCTCAGCACCTGGAGACACCCTGTTGGACTTCAGGAGTGTTGCTCTGGCCTGGGAACAGGTTCTCCTTTGCCTATATCTGTTCTAAACATCATCCCACCTTCCAGCCAACTCCATCAAGGTGGAGATGTACAGCGATGAGGAGTCGAGCAGACTGCTGGGGCCAGATGAGCGGCTCCTGGAAAAAGACGACAGTGTGATTGTGGAGGACTCATTGTCCGAGCCCCTGGGCTACTGTGATGGGAGTGGGCCAGAGCCTCACTCCCCTGGTGGCATCCGGCTGCCTAATGGCAAGCTCAAGTGTGATGTCTGCGGCATGGTCTGTATTGGACCCAACGTGCTCATGGTGCACAAGCGCAGCCACACTGGTGAGTAAGCCAGAGGCATTCAGGGAGGAGCTGGGTGAGGGGTGATTAAGAGGCAGAGACAATGCTGGGGCAATGGCAATAAGAGGGTTGCAGGAGTCCATGCTGGAGTGGGGTAGTCTCAGAAAGGGAAGGGTCTCTCCCAGCACATTTTCTAGTTGACAAAAAAAAAAAAAAAAAGAGGGAATTTGAACTTCCATTAACTCCTGTACCTTCCTGGCACTTTCCTCAGCTGTTGTTATAAAGGAAAGCTACTGTTTTTCTGAGGATGTGAGGGAAAAGGAGATGTTGTAGTCTCAAGGAGGATTCTTATAGCTCAGTGGTAGAGTTGTGCTTAGCATGCAATGAGGCACCACGTTCCGTCTCCAGCACCAAAAATTAAAAAAAAAAAAAAAAGAAGAAGAAGAAGAAAGAAGGAAAAAAAGAATAAAAAGGATCCCTTTGTCCAACAGGAATAGGACTCCTGAGTATCATTTGGGCCTTCCTAGCTCATAATTATTAAAAAAACAAAAGGTAAGGGGCAGGAAACAAAGGCTTCCTCCTCTTAGCCTCTTCAGACTTTGAGCTCCTGGGGCCAATGGGCCCTGTGGAGCTCAGTTTTGGGTAACAGACTTGTGGTCTGGTGTTCCAGACCCAGTACTCCTTTTCTGCCACACACCTCTAACTCACACCTTCCCAGGACAAGACCGTCCCTAGGTCTTGATACTAATACTTGATAAAGTAATGCTTGATAAAGCAGTATTAGCATGTGTGGCACACTCCTGCCCCTCAGCAATATGTTCAGTGAAACTTCCCTTGGCAGTGTTGGGGACTATCTTCAACCTTTGACATTTTTCATGCCGGCCCTCTGGAACTTGTTCTTTCACTTGCAGGTGAGAGGCCCTTCCACTGCAACCAGTGTGGTGCCTCTTTCACCCAGAAGGGGAACCTGCTGCGCCATATTAAGCTGCATTCTGGGGAAAAGCCCTTCAAATGTCCTTTCTGCAACTATGCCTGCCGCCGGCGTGATGCACTCACTGGTCACCTCCGCACACACTCAGGTCAGTGACCATCCAGCAGGAGAAGAGAGAGTGGGGCCCCGAGCGTACCCAATAAATAGAGCTCCTAGACTTTTCTGTATTGGGGAGTTACAGTGTCTATCACTGAGGAGGGGAGAGCACTCATACAGAGCAAATAGGGCCTTGCCTCTTTAACTCTTCCTCTGGGCAGCAGGGCCCATGAGAAATTTGCAGGACCCTTTGTTGAGGTATTTTACTGCCACACTGTGTGACATGGAACAAAAGGAGCATGGATGGTCTTGGCTCCGCTCTGATTTTTGTTTTTTAAAGACTGTGATGATGCAGGTGCCATCTGTGCCCCACACCCACACCCACACTTTTGAGCCCATGGAAAGCCCTCTTCCCATTCCCATTTACCCTGGGCCCTGCACTTATCACCATCTTAATCTGCCATCTATAACACCAGAAGTTTTTGGGCAAGCACTGTCTATCCTCTCCTCTACTTCCTACAGGATCCTGTAAATATCCATGGGCCTCCCAAACTGGAAAAAAAAAAAAAAAGGAGCCTCAGACCTCCAATTAGGAAACAAGTATCCCATTTCTGTTCTATCCCAAAAGGCTGTCACTTTCCAAGAGTCAGGAGCAAGTCTAGAGAGTGTCTAGGAGTCAGTATTTAATAGTGCTGGGGAACTAGATCAGCAAGGTTTTCTAGATCAATCAAGACTATTTGAATCAGTATATCTCAGAATCAACTAGACAAATAGTACTTGTCAGAAATTTTACTAAGTTTGGGGCTTTTGGCTTGGACTTGGGAAGATGCCAGGAACTTAGCTGGCAGGAAGGAGGGAACTCAAGACTGAAAAAATGCAGGAAAAGGGGAAGAGAGGAAAGAATTAGCAGGGTCTGTCCTCGAAAACTTTCCTTGCTGTTTTTCTCTTAAACTCTCCTGGGCCAGGACTTAAAGGAACAGAGCAATCATTTCTGCTTTCTCCATCTACCCACCTTCTTTCAGGTTCTCCACTTTATAACTGGGACCTCTTTATCTCTATATACATGGAGGAATAGAGAGAAAGATCATCACTGATTCATGCTTTATTATCTACAGAGCATTTCATTTGTGTCTCCTCATATAATCCTCATAATAATTACAAGATAGATGTGATTATCCCCATTTTGTTGACAAAGAACTGAAGCCGGGGGGGGGGGGGGTGTTGCAGGCCATATGGTTTTTATGCAGCATGACTGGACCCCCATCAAGAATCAGTGCCAGAGCTGGGTATGATGGCACACGCCTGTAATTCAGCTACTGTAATTCAGGAGACTGAGGCAGTAGGATCATGAGTTCAAGACCAATCTGAGCAATTTAGTGATACCCTATCTCAAAAATAAAATAAAAAGGGATGGGGGTATAACTCAGTGGTAGAGTATCTGCCTTAACATGCGCAAGGCCCTGAGTTTGATCCCCAATACTGAAGGGAAAAAAAGAAAAAAAGATCCAGTGTCAGGTGCTCCTTTTTCTCAGGAAATGGGCTGCTCCCCCTGCTGTTATGAAACCAGAATGGCTTGGCCCCCAGAATTCTTCCCAACAAATTCAGCTGGGTAGATTTTGGATGTTGTTCTGAAGGAAGTTAAGGGAAAAAAAAGGAGACAGGTAAACTGTCAGAGTCCATCTCTGTTAAGATGCTTCCTGTTACAGTTGACACATAAGAAAAAATAGGCTGGAGGATCATTCCTCTCCCAGATGTTAAGTCATTTCCCCAAGGGTGTTGGATAGATAGGAACTCTGGTGTTCATTTCATCCCAAACACTAGGGTTTATGGAACAAGAGCAAAATAGCAAAATGTTGATTTAGTCAAGGCACAGCTTAGGCATGTGTAGGGGGTGAGTATCTCCTGTAGAGAGGAGATATTTTCTCCTGTCTCCCTGCTCAATAGAAGCAAAAAAACATAAAATATACAATACCTTGTACTCTTCACTGTTTTTTCTCTTTTCACAAATATCATCTCTCAAAAGTTGCCTTAAGCTGGTGTGGAGGCACACCGTATAATCCTAGCAACTCTGGAGGCTGAGGCAGGAGGTTCACAAGTTCCAGGCCAGCCTCAGCAATTTAGCAAGGCGCTAAGCAATTTAGCAAGACTCTGTCTCAAAATAAAAAATAAAAATGACTGGGGATATATCTCAGTGATTAAGATACCAGTGATTAACACTTGGGTTCAATCCCTGGTACAAAAAAAAAAAAGTTGTCTTTATAACCCATTCTTTAAAAAAAAAACCCAAGCCAAGTGCATAGTCCCACCCCTATAATCCCAGTAGTTTGGGAGGCTGAGGCAGGAGGATCAAGAGTTCAAAACAAGCCTCAGCAACTTAGCAAAGCCCTTAGCAACTCAGTGAGACCCTGTCTCTAAATAAAATGCAAAAAAAGGCTAGGGATGTGGCTCTGCGGTTAAGCCCCCTCGGATTAAACCCCAGCTCCCCCCACTCCCGAAAAAAAAACTGGTATTCTTTTTCACTCTCTCCCTTATTTTCTTCTTTCTTTTTGTATTCTTTTTCTTTTTTCAGTATTTCTTGTCACTGATGGTACTTCTGCTGCTCTCTTGGTAGGTACCTCAGTATAGAGAGACAGAAGAGAAAATAATCAGTTAAATCAGGCAAGAGATGGAAGTAAAAATACAAGTAAAGGTCCATGAAAACTGCCTCTCCCCACAAGGGCAGATCTAAGGGCTCTCATTTCTGTCACACCAGCCCACCAATTTCCCCCAAACCAGGGCACATAGTCTGTTAGAAAAAAAAAAAAAAAATCCCCTTGTCTGATAAACAGCACTTACACCTGCCTGCCACATGGAAAGGTTAAACCGCAGTCTGGGCCCCAGACTCTGAGATCCTGGGGTGGGGCTTGCTTGCCTGCCTGCTGCTCCCCTACAAAGGCCTTGGGTCCTCACTTCCCTTGAGCAGCATCTTGGTCATCAAAGCCCATTACCAGTCTGAGGCCGTATGTCTTGGGATTCTCTCACTCCCATAGCTGCACATTGTCTCTCTTCCCCAAATTGGTCCATCTTTCCATTGTTACAGGTAAAATTGGAGAAGGGTAGACAAGCAGAAGAATTCAACTTAGCAACATCTTTTCCTCCCTATGCCAGTGTATATTTGCTCCTGGATAATTTTGAGAACAAGGGCATGGAAGTAACTCTGATGCTGTCTATCTTCCACAGTTTCCTCTCCCACAGTGGGCAAGCCCTATAAGTGCAACTACTGTGGCCGGAGCTACAAACAGCAGAGTACCCTGGAGGAACACAAGGAACGGTGCCACAACTACCTACAGAGTCTAAGCACTGAAGCCCAAGCTTTGGCTGGCCAACCAGGTGTGGCCCTGAGCAGTACTATGGGGGAGTTGAGAGAAGATCCAGAGGATTGCAGGTCAAGGGTGATTCCAGTTCCTCCTCCTACAGAAGGATGAGATATATAAAATGGGAAACAGTTACCCTCATTAAATCTACTATTAAATCTTCCAAACACCCCATTCTACGTACCCTCATCAGTGTAGAGTAGGGTCTTATGTTAGGTACTATAGGGAGATCCAGAGGTAGTGAAAGGTTGTCTCTATCTTCAGTCTAATAGAGGAGAGAACACAAGAAGTATAGAATCAAGAGTCAAATGTGTATACTTATCCTCAAATGGTCTGAAATATGGGGATGAGCTTTAGAAGGGTAAAGTAAATAGTTTCCCAGGCTTTAGGTCTGACCCTCCTTGGCTACTGACCTACTGGTTTTCTTGAGGTAGTACTACTCCTACTCAGCTACTACTGCCCCCACTCCTTCCCACTAGGTGAGGAGATCCGTGATCTGGATATGGTGCCAGACTCCATGCTGCACTCATCATCTGATCGGCCAACTTTCATCGATCGTCTAGCCAACAGCCTCACCAAACGCAAGCGTTCCACCCCCCAGAAGTTTGTAGGTAAGAGTCCAGTTGGAAAGGAGACGATAGCTTAAAGCCATAGCTCAAATAAATCTGAGCTCTGATTGCCATTAGACCAGAGATTTTGGTCTGGTGGTTGATCTAGGGAAAGAAAACAACCTGATAATTCTGGTGTCAAAAGTTTTCCCCAGACCAGGAGGGAAGTAATGAGGAAGGATGTACCTCAAGAGGGTGGAAAGGAGTCAGTGTTGAGAACTTGTGGTAGCCTAAGGGGAGGTGTTTGGGAGTTCAAGCCCTCTGAGGTTTTGAGGCTAGAAGGACTTCAGTCTGTGTAGGCTCTTGCAAGACTTGGAGGAGAAGTAAGCATGTACTTCCCCCACATGACTCTGGCATGAGGTCCCTAAGGATCTGGAGTTTTATGGAGAGTGATGAAAGAAGTATTCATGCTAGGTAGGATAATACTTGTCTAAAATTACAGCCTACAGTCAGGGAGTGAGCCCACCACACTGCACTCATCATTCCATCTTGGGGGAAGGAAATGAGGTGTAACAAATAAGGTTACAAGCAGCTGGGAGTGTAGCTCAGTGGTGAAACACATGTTTAGCATGTGTGAGGACCTGGGTTCAATCTTCAGCACCACAAATAATAATTACAATTAAAACAATAATAATGATGATCATGTTATATCCAGCCCCATGGGTTAAAAGAAACAAACCAGCAATCCTGGGGAGCACTTAGGAATTATTCAAAGACAGCCTTGCTGAGATCTTTCTCCACAGGTGAAAAGCAGATGCGCTTCAGTCTCTCAGACCTCCCCTATGATGTGAATTCTGGTGGCTATGAAAAGGATGTGGAGTTGGTGGCACACCATGGCCTGGAACCTGGCTTTGGAAGTTCTCTGGCCTTTGTGGGTGCAGAACATCTGCGTCCCCTCCGCCTTCCACCCACCAACTGCATCTCAGAACTCACTCCTGTCATCAGCTCTGTCTACACCCAGATGCAACCCCTCCCTGGTCGCCTGGAGCTTCCAGGGTCCCGAGAAGCAGGTGAGGGACCTGAGGATCTAGGTGATGGGGGTCCCCTCCTCTACCGGGCCCGAAGCTCCCTGACTGATCCTGGGGCATCCCCTAGCAATGGCTGCCAGGATTCCACGGACACAGAGAGCAACCATGAAGATCGAGTTGGGGGGGTGGTGTCTCTCCCTCAAGGTCCCCCACCCCAGCCACCTCCCACCATAGTGGTGGGCCGGCACAGTCCTGCCTATGCCAAAGAGGACCCCAAGCCACAGGAGGGGTTATTACGGGGCACCCCAGGCCCCTCCAAAGAAGTGCTTCGGGTGGTGGGGGAAAGCGGTGAGCCGGTGAAGGCCTTCAAGTGTGAACACTGCCGCATCCTCTTCCTGGACCACGTCATGTTCACCATCCACATGGGCTGTCATGGCTTCAGAGACCCTTTCGAGTGCAACATCTGTGGTTATCACAGCCAGGACCGGTACGAATTTTCTTCCCACATTGTTCGAGGGGAGCATAAGGTGGGCTAGTGACCTCTCCCCCTGCCCTTAGTCCACTACTCCACTGCCCCACTATAGGTGTCTAGCCTTGTCCCCACCACACCCCAAGGAGTTTTGCATTGTAGCCCCCACCACTGGCCACTTGACTTCACACCTAACCCTGACTCTCCTTGCCTATTCTTTTCTACCCTGACCTGTTTAAGCATTGTGATGAAACAGATCTTTTGCTTATGTTTCTTCTTTTTCTCTTCTCTTCTCATCTCAGCATATTCACTGAGTTATTTATTAATTAGTTGACTTTGCCTTTTTTATTTATGGCATTCCCTTGCCACTCCCTCACCCTCTGGCCCACAGCTCCCTTCTACTGTAGGCCTAATTTTTTTCTTGTGGATCTAGCATCCAATAGCCCCAGGGGTCAGAAGCTCCTCTTCACATTAAGAGACCTTGAGCTTCTTGCTTTAATCTTCACCCTTTATCTGATTTTTCAGTTTTTATGCTGATACCTCCCAATGGCCCTACCTTAGCTCTGTGGCATTATATCTCCTCTCTGGGACCCTTCAACCTGGTACTCCATACCTCTTGTGCCCTCTCACTTTAGGCAGCTTGCACTATTCTTGAATGAATGAAGAATTTCCTCATTTGGAAGTAGGAGGGGTTGAAGAAATTCTCCCCAGGCACTGTGAGACTGAGGATCCTCTTGACTGCCCCTGGGAATTTGAGCTCCCCAAAGCCTACCTTCAGGATCTCTCTCCAGGATGTGATATAGCTCGTCCCTGTCCCCAGCCCAATCCTCATCACCACCCTAGTCTCTTCAACCTGCCGCTCTGCTCAGTGGTGGCTTTTCTCTCTGTGGAGTAACCCCATTTTATATTCTCAGGGGCCAAGGCTAGGTCTGCAACCCTTTGTCTAAGGCACATTGGGAGCCACAGGTGCCTAATTAGGAACCAGGGCATGGGAAGGGTGTGGGTCAAAATATTTTCTCTCCTCCACCTCTCAGACTTCTTCACTCTAGTGACCTTCATGGGCTTACAGGGACTCTTTCAGTCCCCATCCTATGAGAAACTGGTGGGTAGCTGCCTGATAACCAGGGGTCTCTCAACCCCTCTGTCATGCTGCCTTCTTCCTCTCCTTCCCAGCAGGATTCACTCTCTCATTCCTGCACTCGTGGGCTCTTTCTTGTTATTGGTGGCAGGGAGAAAAGGATGTCTCTTTTCTCTCTTCTAATTTTCAGTGTAACCAAAAATTATCCCAGGATGAGCAAGGATATGTGCCCCTCATCCATTCCATCCTTGTTCCATCAAGAATGGAGTAGGTACAACTCACCGGGGGTCATCCTTCACTGCCCTTCTATACTCAGCTCCCAGACATGCAGGAGGGGCATTCTTCTCCTGGCTGCTGCAGAGACCCCTGGTATTTGGATAACCAAGGATTCATGAGAAGGGGCAGGAGGAGGTACAACTCCACTGCAAGTGAAGGTCTCTTTCTACAAAGAGCTCCCTGCCCGGGGCCACAGCCATCCCACTCTCTGCTTCCTTGAGATTCAAACCAAAGGCTGTTTTTCTATATTTAAAGAAAAAAAAGAAAAAAAGAAAAAAAAAGTGAAAAACCAAACACAACACCTCACAAGTTGTAACTCTTGGTCCTTCTCTCTCTCCTTTTCTTCCTTTCCTGTCCATCTTTCTTGCCACGTGTCCTTTCCTTATTGGCCTTTCACCTCTTCTTCTTTTCTCACTCCCTATCAGGGATATTTGTTTGGGGGTTGGTAAAAGGTGGGCTAAGGATCAGATCCTGGGATTGGGGCTCTTAAGGGTCTGGGAAGAGTCTACCTTACCCTATCATGGGAAGTGAAAAAAACTCTTTTTCCCCCTTTTCCTTCCCCATTATTGTGGTTTTCCCAAGAGAACCAGATTGGCAGGAAGAGGCCTTGTGGGATGATTGTTCCTCCTTGACAATGTAGCAATAAATAGGTGCTGCCAAGGGCAGAGGATGGGGGAGTCAGCTCAGAGGAGAGTGGTCCCTAGAGAAAGTAAAGAGTCTTCTCAACAGCACCCTTAGGTACTTGCTCCTTGTTCAGGATGGCAGCAGAGCTGAGATTAACACCTGGGCTTCTCCTGAACTATTCTGGTTATTGAGCCACTTCCTGTTGGACCTACCCATCCCACATCTTCTATGTCTGCTGTGTATTTGATGATACCTCATAAGGACTTATCCCTTCTGGGGTATCAAAGCCTTAGGGTGCCCTCATCCCCTCCCCTAACCAGCCTTGGCACCTGTAACCTCCCAGAACATGAAGGACTATGCTCTGAGGCTATACTCTGTGCCCATGAGAGCAGAGACTGGAAGGGCAAGACCAGGTGCTAGGGAGGAGAGAGAGGGGCATCCTGTCTCTCTCTAGACCATCACTGCACTTTAACCAGGGTCTTAGGTACAAAATCCTACTTTTCAGAGCCTTCCAGCTCTGGAACCTCAAACATCCTCATGCTCTCTCCCAGCTCCTTTTACATAAAAAAATAAAAAGAAAGAAAAAGAAAGAACAAAAACCACACGGTGAAACCCACATGGAGTAAAGAGGTGTTTCCTTTTATATTGCTATTCAAAATCAACACCACAAAAAGAAATAAGAATTTCTAAATAGACACTTTTCCAGAACTTTGTTTTTTCCTGTCAATGTCCAAGCTGCGGGTGGGATTTTGTAATACTTCTGGCAGCTTCTTTCCTTGTGTACATAATATACATATATATATATATATTTTTAATCAGAAGTTATGAAGAACAACAACAAAAAAAAAAACACAGAAGCAAGTGCAATACCACCTCTCTTCTCCCTCTCTCCCAAGGTTTCCTTTGTAGCCTGTTTGGTGTTTCCTTTGACCCTTGCCCCTCCACTTCCTCCTCTCTTCCTCTGCCCCCCACCTTTTTTTAAGTTTTTCTCCTTTCTCTATGGGAGTTAAACTAGCTTTTGAGACTTATTGCAAAGCATTTTGTATATGTAATATATTGTAAGTAAATATTTGTGTAACGGAGATATACTACTGTAAGTTTTGTACTGTACTGGCTGAAGGTCTGTTATAAATAAACATGAGTAATTTAACACCCCTGGTTGTTTTACAGAGTTCCTTTGCCTTACTTTCCTGCTAGGAGGGAGGAGGGATCTCCTTGCAGCAAGCTGTACTAAACAAGTTTTGGAGGTGAAAAAGATTGAGAGTAAATCAGACCAGAGAGCTCAAGTTGTTGCTACAGAACAGGGAAAATTTCAGCCTAGAATGAGAAGTGGAGGAAATTTTCCTATAAGTATCTTCAGGATATGAAAATCTGACTTGCCTATCTATTCAAAGCAGAGATTCATCAAACCTTTGTAGAGTACCTACTATGTGCAAAACACATTACATGCCTAGGGAGATGTAAGTTACGATAACACGAATGATGATAATGATAGGATCCACCACTTCAGCGTCTCATAATTCCCAAGCACTGTACAAAGTCATCTTTCTTTTTCCCCCTGGTGCTGGGTATTGAACCCAGGGGCACTTTATCACTGAGCTACATCTCCATCCCTTTTTATTTTTTATTTTGAGACACAGTCTCACCAAATTGCTTAGGGCCTCACTAAGTTGCTGAGGCTGATCTCGAATTTGTAATCCTTCTCAGCCTTTTGAGCTACTGGGATTACAGGCATGTGCCACCATACCCGGTCCAAGTCTTTATTTAACTGGAGAAATACCTGCATAAGAATAATCACAATTATTGGTGAAAAATAAAAGACAAAGAGAGATTAAATAATTTGTTCAAAGCTAATCAGCCAATAAGTAAAAGGCAGCATTTGAACCCAAGAATATGTAAGTCTAAAGCCTGCCTATGCCTTTATGACAGTGAAACCTTCAGGCAACAAAAACCCAAAGAAAAACAAAGTAGAAAAATCAACTTCATTATGTCTTAAGTGTTAACTATTTTCTATACCTTTCATTCTAAACTTGTTTTTACTCTGATCTATCTCACTGCTATGATACTACAATGAAGTAAAAATTGGAGACACTCCTATCTAAAATCGATTATTTACTATGTCTCATTGAAAATAACATATTCAAAGTTAAAAGAAAAAATGTATATAGTTGCTTCCGCCTAAAACCAAAAATTAGAAAATAGATTTTAGCCCCAATAAAGTGGGTTAAGGTTAAATGAAATGTTGTTGGAGAGAGAGTGAATCTGCTGTGTTCAGAATTTAGAATGACATATGAATAAATGTTTGGTTTCTATCTATTCCATCTTGGGCTCAAATGCCACCCAAGGAGGCTCACTTGCCATCAGTTCACAAATCATGCTCTAGAGCAGTTTTTCAAGTGGCCTGTATTCTAAGAGTGTCCTTAACTTTGGAGCTACTAGGTGGTTGCAGGATAGCCTCTCCTGCTCAAGGCGCAAGCCTTCTGATGGCTCTTCAAAGGGAGCTGAAAATGTGTGAGGGAAGGAGGTGTGGATTTTTATTATTTATTTATTTATTTGTAGTAATGGAGATCCAACCCAGGGGCACTTTACCCCTGAAAACATCCCCAGCAGGTCCCCTTCTCTTTTTTTTTTTTTTTTTTTGTACCAGGGTTTGAACCCAGTGGCTCTCAACCACTGAGCCACATCCCCAGCCCTTTTTGTGTTTTATTTTAAAACAGGGTCTCTCCAAGTTGCTTAGGGCCTCCCTAAATTGCTGAGGCTGGCTTTGAACTTGCAATCCTCCTCCTGCCTCAGCCTCCCAAGGTGCTGGAATTACAGGCATGCATAATACCTTTATTTTTAAAATTTTATTTATATGAGGTGCTGAGGAATGAACCCAGCGCCTCACACATACCAGGCAGGCACTCCACCACTGAACTACAACCCCAGCTCCCCACCCCATTACCACAATTTTATTTTGAGACAGGGTCTCACTATATTGCCCAGGTTGATCTACAAGCTGTTATCTTCCTGTTTCAGCCTTTTGTTTTTGTTGTTGCTATGCTGGGCACCCAACCCAGGGCCTCCAGAATGCTAGGCAAGCACTCTACCATTGAACTACACCAAGGAATAGCGAAATCACCTTTGTAGGTCTTGGTCAGCATTTATTAAAATAAAATAGAGAACAAAACATACCAGTGCGCCTTATGTCATAAGGGTGTTATTTCATGAGGCTTATATATGTGTATATTTGGATTTATGTTTGGGTACCAATGAGAAATGCATTTCTGCCACGTGTCCGGGTCAAAAATATGAAAAATCTCTGACCCACCCTTTACCTGCACTCATTTGTTTGCTAGTTGAGAGACAGCATAATACAGTGGCACCAATACACCTCTTACTAGCTCTGTGTATTCTGAACAAGTTGTCTAGTCATTTTGCACTTCAAATTTTCGAACTTTAAAGTGATGATAATAATAGTGCCTAACTTATAGACTTATTGAGGTTAAATGGGTTAATATTTACAAAGAGCTACTACAATTCATGGCACTGTGCTAAAAAGATCCAAGGATTAAAAGGGCGGATAAGAAACAGTTCTAGATCGGGTGCAGCGAAGCACACCTATAATCCCTAGAGAGGCTGAGGCAGGAGAATCCTGAGTTCAAAGCCAGTTTTGGCAATTTAGCGAGGCCCTAAACAACTCAGTTAGACATGCCTCTAAATAAAATATAAAAAGGATTGGGGATGTGGCTCAGTGTTTAAGTGCCCCTGGGTTCAATCCCAAGTATCAAAAAAGAAACAGTTTCAGCACAAATGTTCTAGTTCATTGTCTCGCATTTCGGTCTTTTTATTCACAAAATGTTGTTTCCTTCAAGGTCTTCCACTTCGTAATTCTATGTCTTGTGGCAGGGCAGAGAAAAGAAATATGAGGGGCCGGGACTGGTGACACAAACCTGTAATCCCAGACATTCGGGAGCTTGAGGCAGGAGAATTCCAAATTTGAAGCTAGCCTCAGCACTTTAGCGAGGCCCTAATCAACTTAGTAAGACCCTGTCTCAAAATTTTAAAAAAGGGATGGTGAGGTGGCTCAGCAAAGCACCCCTGGGTTAAATGACCGTGCCAATAAAAAGAAGAACAACAAGAAAAAAGAAGAACAACAAGAAAAAAGAAACGCGTGCAGCGACACTTGGGGCCTAAGGACGTGGGGCCGAGACCTCTGAGCTTTGTACTACAATCCCCAACACACATCTTTCCTCCTCTGCCCTCTAATTGGAAGAGCGTTTTAGGGCCTAGCACCGGGAGGAAGTTGATCTTAGCGACGCATGACGCAAATTTACAACTTCCGGCCTACGGTGTCGCGATGTTTCTCGCGAAACCTATAACACTAATTTTCTTCCGCCAGCAGGCTAAGTAGTTCCAAAGGTAACTTGTTCCATGCATAAATAAACCCTAGGAACCTCTGTCTCCTCTGGGTTTCTTTGGAAACGCTAAGTAATCAAGAAATTTTTGGAAGTGGTTTTCCGTTCTTGATACTACGGGTTTTCCCCACGTGAGCGTAGGGATCTTGCGCTATATAAGAGGTCCGGCCGGATGTCACGTCCTCTCTCGGGTCCTCGCTTCCAAGATGGTGAGTTCTGGCGCGTGGTGAGCGTGGGATTCCGGGTGGAGGCTGAAAGGAGCAGATTTGGGGTTTGTGGGGAATTGAGAGCCAGTGCCATGGTGGAGGAGAGACGTATGATTTTGGATTTAGAAATTCGAGAAACCTGAGTGGCGCCTTTTTAGGCTGCCGGCACGAAATGGAACCCGTAGATGGCTGACTCTGGTTGAGTTCCACCCTCTTAATTCCTAATGGGATCTCTTTCCTGATACAGACCAAAAAAAGAAGGAATAATGGTCGTGCGAAAAAGGGCCGCGGGCATGTGCAGCCTATTCGTTGCACGAACTGTGCCAGGTGCGTGCCCAAGGACAAGGCCATTAAGAAGTTCGTCATTCGAAACATCGTGGAGGCCGCAGCCGTCAGGGACATTTCCGAAGCAAGTGTTTTCGACGGTAAGTGAGCCACTGGAGCTAATTGTGTAAGGGTCTAGTACCTGAACTTATCCCCCGACCTCGCGCTTTTGCAGACTCTGTTGGCGCATTTCTGGAGTATTCTAGACAATTTCTTTAAGGTTGTTGGTAAAAGAGAATGGTATATTTGTTCTCGTTTTTGGCTTGAAGCATAGTATGCCTTTTTGTGATAGTGCCCTAGCTTTACTCCGAGGTTTACATCATGTGACTGCCTGTATTTCCAGAAACTCTTCTGTAGACAAACCTAGTGAACGTAACAATTCTTAAATTAGCGAAGAGCATCTAAATGCTTGTAGAAAAGTACAAATGAGTCAGAGTTTCACGAAGATTTATTTAAAGAATGGAAGCAGGCTAGGTGGGGTGGTCCTGGCCTCCAAGCCACCCCGAGGACAGAGGCAAGAGGAGGCTAAGTTAATGACCAGTTTGGGTAATTTTCAGATTTTTTTAAAAGGCTGGGGATTTAGCTCATCGGTATAGGGGAGTAGGGAATGGGATGAAAGAAGACTAGTTTTTATAGTGATGTAACTTTTTTTTCTCAAATTACTTTCTTAGGCAACAAGAAGGGGGCCAGCTTTAGAACTGATAAAGCTGTTGAAGGAACTGGACTCTGGGTTTATTACTTGTAAACAGGATGTGATTTTGGTTCCCATGGTGTCAAGATGGGTTTGGAGGGGATATTGTTATTCATTTGTGAAACTGACAGTTATGCTTTTAGGTGTCAGAGCTGAACAGTTTTGGAAGTAACAAAGTTTCATGGATGTGTCTGACATATGCTTTGATACTTGTTTTGCTTTGTTTAGTACTGTGGATTTAACCTGGGGTACTCCACCACAGAGCTAAATCTCCAGTGAACTTGTGATCCTCCTGCCTTAGGGTTCCAAGTTGCTGGGGTTACAGGTGTAGGCCACCATGCTTGACTATAGGTTTAGTTTTGACTGATAGAATGAACAAGAAAGAATAATATAAGGTGGGTATATGATACCTAATAATGTTTTTCCCTCCTCCCCTATTGTCAGCTTATGTGCTTCCCAAGCTGTATGTGAAGCTGCATTACTGTGTGAGTTGTGCCATTCACAGCAAGGTAGTCAGGAATCGATCTCGTGAAG